AGACAATCAAAACGACACATCAGAACCTCTGGCTGGTGTTGTTGCAGCGGCGTTACCGGATCTTGGTTGCCGTAACAGACCAATCAGTGTCTCCGCCTGTCAACAAAAACGCTCAGATACACACGTATTTTACGTGACATAATACACATAAAATATCATATACAATATGGTGTAGGATAGAAATTACCATACAGAATGCCAAGTAGAACATATATATCTATTATTCAAATTTAAGTATTAATACACATATAAATGAAAAACATAAATATTAGCTGAAGACAAATGAAAGAACACAATTATATATTTTATATTATTCTAAATAATTTATGCTATTTCAATATAATAAAGTACAAATTGAATAATCCCACATGAAAAGGGACTTATATTTTCATACTGAAAAGGACAAAAATATCTAATTGAACTAACTTCAACTCATCTAACGACGAAGCTAGCTATAATATTAGGTACGGATTCAAATGACTTGAGAATCGATCAAATATATAAATATTTAATTATAAATTCGATTAAAATTCATAAATCTCAAATCTTGATTCCGAGTTATAGCCATAGGGGCAAATACAGTGGAGATAGACTAGTGCGCCTACCAAACATAATTATATTTGTCCATATCCAAATCACATCACTATAATACTTTCTACAGTCTATCTTTTACCAATTATATATAAGCTTAGTGCAAGCCCTACTTAATTAATTAGCTTAACTCATTAATTAATGGAACCTCTTTACTTAATTACCTGCTTCACATTTGATGGCAACGATTGGTAACATAACAATATTCTAATTATGTCGCGTAAATTAAATTAAAATCGGATAGTTTTGTTATAGATATTTTGATTTTTACCTTTTGTTTGGCGCCATTTGTACCCGACTGTGACAAAGCAACCAATGGGGGAATTGCGCCTTCTCGAGCCACCATAGTACGGTAACTAACGCTATCTTCACAGAGCTGCAACAATATCGCCGCCGCGATCTCCTTCTGCCGCTGTGACCCGACCTCCACGATCTCCACCAGCACCGGAATTCCGCCTTCCTCCACCACCGCGGCCCTCGCTTCCACCATTGATATCAAAACGCTCATAACAAATGCCGATTTATCCACCATGTTTGAACTGAAATCCGCCATTAATTCAACTAACGGTTTCATAACTCCGGCTTCTACGGCTCTAATTTTGTTCTCTTTCACCGTACATAGGCAAAACAGAGCAGTTGATGCATCCTTCTTCCCGCGGAAATTGCCGGCTTCTAGAAGGTTCACTAATGGAGGTATCGCACCGGACCTTCCGATCGCGATTTTATTCTCTTCAATTTGTGATAATCGAAGCAGAGCACAAGCGGAATTCTCCTTCGCAGTTGAATTTCCAATTTTCAAAGCTCGAACTAACGGTTTAATCGCTCCTGATTCTGCGATAAGCTCCTTGTTTTCATCGCAGAGAGATAAATTCAGCACCGCCGTGGCACCGTACTCTTGAAGCTGAAGATCAGTGGAAGAGATAAGCGAAATCAACGGCTTAATCGCTCCAGCTCTAGCAATTTTCAAACGATTCTCCGGTTTATTCTTCGCTAGGAGCCTAATCTCCATTGCGGCTTGTTTTTGCACATCCATAGAATTCGACTCGAGATCAGACACGAGTTGTTGAATCAATTCATCGGAGTTATAATTATCCGACGCACATGCAATTAATAACCGCCGGCTTTGAGAAGAAGTCGTCGGAAACTCGCCGGATCTATCGCTATTGCAGTCGCTGAAAGCAGAGGAAGATTCATTAATTCCGAGACCGGTAAATGTTCTTCCCATGTAAGTGAAATTAGATTGAACTTCTGTTTCCATTGTCTTCGGCTATGATGATTAAATTCAATTCATCAACTGTTTTCGTCGCCGGCAATAGGTAGTTAATGTTTCCGGCGAGTTTTCAAAGGTTTGCCGGTGTTATCGGAAAATGAGAGGTGAAAGTCGAAACGACGGCGTTTGGTAGGTGGAGTTTGATTTGGGCCGAGTGTGTTAATGGGCTTTTGAGGAGAATTTGAAGGAAATGGAAATGGAAGATATAAGAGAAAGGAGAGAAGAGTACACGTGGATTAACGCCTAGGAGAAAGGGATGGACACGTGGGTGACCGTACAGAATCCAAGTAGGAACAGCACGTGCGACTTTTAATGCGTGAGTGGAAGGTTCGTTATTCGATACTCTTTTACTTGTCTATCATTTTAAAAATAAATTTTTATTTTTACTAATTAAAAAGATATATATAGCTTAGTTCATATACATTCTTATCGTGCACATGCAATAGTTGATCCAAATATACCCTTATTTATTTGAACCGCGTTTAGTTGTGATCCTGACAAATCCGCATTCACAATCCGTGCATCATTTAGTTGTGCGCTAGGGGAAGTTGTGACGTTAAATCAGCCTCGTCTTTTAGAGGTTTGGAACCCTTCCGTTGATTGCACCATATGTAAATTCAATCTGACTTCTAAAACAAAAGTGAGCATAAGTGAGAAGATTCACTTTCCCGCATCCCTCTTCCCATGAGCAGAACACTAAAGATGTACATTACATACGTGTTATCTAACTAACAACCACTTTCAATTCTTCACTTCAAGGAATATAATTTTTGAGTTCGAGTCTCTCTGGATACGGAGTTTCCTTTGTTGGGAAATGCTTTATCTTTCAATGTGCATATTCGAATTTAGTCGGATTCTAATGTGAATTTCAGACATCGAATGAAAAAATAGGGGAAAAAATGATATAAAACCTTAAAATATAGGAGTATGGTTAATCAATGCATTAGATGTCTACCATACGTTCTTATTGGATTTGGGTAATGATAACACTTTTTTTATATATATAAAAAGGACGATGCATTAATCAAGACACTGGCTGTCCTTTTTTCCTTTTTTAAGTTGTGTTTCTTGTCCAAGCGTGTGACACTTCTTGTCCATTTCTCAGTCTCTGTGTCAAATAATTGTTTTAAACAGGTCATAAATTAATAATGGACAGAGTAAAAATGAACAAAAAAGGATATAATAATTTAAAATTTATTTTTAAGATATGACATGAGAATAAGGTTTAATAATCTTCATGTTCGAGTTCTTTGGATATATATGAAATCGCTTTTGTTGGGAAGTGTTATATCTCAATATGAACTTTTTGATATAAATTAAACTATAATATAAATACTAAACATCGAATAAGAAACAAAACAATAAGTTAAAGAATCTCCAAATCACCGCCTACCCCCATACCCCCGGCGCAAAACCCTGTGCTTCACTCCTCAATTTGTGGTAATGGATCTATCATATAGTTAATAAAGTATATTATATAGTAATACAATGAAAAAGTCCCTTGCCTATTGTAAACAGCCAATCAAATAAACAAAGCTTGTACCTTTCTATTTTATTCTCTTTGTTTCAGCTTGTAATTTGTTTATTTTAATTATAAAATTTAAACTAATAAAAGCGATTTTTAAATCTTGTGATCTTAAATTAATGATATGATAAATTTCTTGTGATTTTAAACATATCATATGAAAATTTTATCAAACATTTGAGAATTAATATAGAAAGTTATAGAAGACTCTCGATTGATTGATTGTAATGTTTAGGATGTTATATATAATCCATTAATGTTTAGAGATATGACTTTCCTACTCAGATATATTTCTTGATTGTTCGATACAGTGCAAATGATACATTACTTAATGAAAGAATGCATTCAAGAGGGAATACGTACATTTCAAATGATACATTACTAATGGGAGAATTACATCCTATAGGATATAGAAATATATCCGAGAGAAGATTTTTGTATTTTTTAAATGATAATTTTTTTAAGAAATTATGATAGCTTAAATCGTATATTTATGTAACTTTTTACTAAAATTTTATCGATTTTGTGCCAAAACCCATAAATTTCCATGTCACGTTTTCAATTAAAATAAAACATATTTCAGTCAACGAGTACTATAGGAGAAAGTTACTGGTTCAATCTATAAGTTTTTTAAGAACTACTTTTTGGTATAAGACACATGTCACATGCTAAATATGACACGTGTATATGACCAAGAAGCTGAATATAATTTGCCTTTTTGATCCTCCATTACTTGATACGTTGTATTTTTTTTGTAAGAAGATTATAACATTATAAAAACATAAAAAAAAAAAAAGAAGAGAAGAGAAGAAAAAAGAAGTGGCCAAGTAGCCATTAATTTATCTTAGTGATAGTTAGGTACTTTATTAGTAACACTAACGTAATCCAATCGAACGATAAAACTGTGGGGTCGCAACTTTTAATAAACTAATTAAATATTTTCAATTTGTGATTGAAACACAAATTTTATTTGACGAGTGTGTTTAAATATGATATCGTGATAATAAAATGAACTTTGAACCTAATTCAATCTTAATATTTAGCTCATGAATTGAGGATCGTCCAAGACCATATAAGAAAACGATTTGCTATCTCATCCCTAATATGGAACTACTAACAACATCCTTCACGTAAGTAAGTCTTCATAGTAAGCCTAGTATAGTAACTCACTTGAAAATTAGAGGAATAATTTGTTATGACATATTAAATGTACATAGCAAGTGTATATCACATAAATTCTATAGAAACATAGTACCATGATTTTATTCCTAATCAAATTTGGTCACGTACTCCAAAAAATTTAACTATGTTGTTCAGACTCTCTAATCGATTCCTCCACAATGCACTATTTTAGAAGGATCGAATGTGCATCAATAGTCATTTTTAAAGAATCCAAGCAACATAATTGTATACCTTCAAACTTTAATGTGAAAATTTATTTAAAATATATAGAAGTTCCATGTTTTGAACTATAAGCAGGAACAGATGTACATCCACTTATATAAGGTGCAGATTTCGGAAATTATTCAGTGTAACATAACAAACAGTGCCATTATTTGGGAGTTTCAAATAGAAATAGGAAATAACAGTACAGAATCAGATTCCAGTTTACAGTGAAGAAAACTAAAAGTTGAACTTGACATGGAACCTCTAAAATTTCGTGAGCTACTCAATCACTCCAATTATCTTGGTCGATCGCAAAAGATTGTCCTTCCCTCCCTTCCTGCATATCAGCCCAGATAACAGAAGGTCTTAAGAGGCCAATGATCAGGTACCCTCAGATAAGGGTGTCTAGTAAATGAAAAATGTTAATGGTTTACAAGGCGTACCAATTCCTCGGTAGTGGTTCTACTTGGAGACCACACAAGAATTTTCCGGTCATTACCACCCGTGAATAGTTCCTGAAAATACCCAGACTCAAATTCATTGTTAACATGGAAATAAAAGCAGTTCAATAGAGTTCGGGGGGTGGGGTGCCATCTACAATGAGATCACACAGCGAAATGAAGCAGCCTTGAGATTCATTACTTCACTACGTAAACCATGCTCGTTTTTCTAATTATGGGGCACGGCTAAGTGATCCAGCACACATTGGGCCTAGTGCCCAGGTGGTTTGGCCAATAGTGGGACAAGAAAAGATGGCATCTTTGTCAAGCTTTTACTTTGACGAGAATCATATGAGTGAGGCCAATAATAGAAACAAGGTTGCTTGTACTCTATGCTGCATAATAACAGCGTCCTTGTTATGAGATCTTTTATGTTTCATGTACTTTTTGGTATAAAGAAAGAATACCTGTGTATATTTGCACTAGGATGACATACTAGCTAGCTGTGGGTGAGTTGCCCGCTGGATTAATGTTTTTTGTCACACAAACTTCCAGTATGCAATGAATGAAGTATTTTAGTTTATCTAAAGATGTTACCACTCAAATACTTCAGGTCCACGAGGTCACAGATTATGCAGAATTCACTATTTTACCAAAAACACATGTGCCTAGGGGGAGGCAAAAAAAATATGTACCTGGTCCAGTGAATTGTACAGACAACAGTTCACATTTTCATAGTGGCCACGTAAATCCATCATCGTTTTGCCTGACCACAAATCAAATGCCTACAAGATTTCCACATTAAGTTACTAAAGAAAAATAGTGTTGCATAATAATATCAGGGTGGTGGTGGTTATTTTTCTTTAAAAAAAATTGGGGGGTGGGGGTGGGGGTGGGGGTGGAACAATGTTTACCTTAGTAGCTGACATGCATGGCACAAATACAAGTGTTGAATCATGAGATATGGCTAACTGTGTAGCTTTTGTGGCCTGGAGTCGTGATGTTTCAAAGTTCACAAGTGTATTGCAACCAGATTCAATATCCCATAACCTTAACCTTGAATCAGAACCTGAAATCCACAGGAAGAGATGATTAAGCTTCAGTTGCAGGTTTTTTCCCACCATGTAGCCAAAAGCAAAAAACTATCGATGAGATGCCTTGATCACAAGGGAATAACTCTACCCATATCACGTCCTATCGCAAGAGTGTTTAAACGACATCTTACATCAGTGTTTTAAAAACAGTGCCCAAAATAAACAACTTTGCTAGAGAATTGCTAGAGAAGCATATCAAAATGAGATTAGAAAGCACCATAATCTGCTGTATAAATTCCGGAGTTGCACTTCACCATTGACCAACTATAAAAAGATAAAAGCAACATGCACCAGACCATACATTGTCGTACATGCATCTAACAGAAATAATGGCGTAAGACCTTCAGCCTCTTAAGTGGAGGATAATAACCACAATACATAAACAATCCAAGCAGTAGCAATACAAAAGCTCATTGAAAAGAATTGCGATGTCAACCTGCACTAAGGAGATACATTCCATCATTGGTCATTTTTAATCCATTGACAGCACCATAATGCGCAGTGGCTCTATCTTGACTAGAGAGCATCCCTGGATGCAGTCGCTGCTTCCCAGACCCCCTCACTTGTCTAGCAATTGCAGAGTGTTTGATACTCACGCCATTTCCCATTTTTTTCTGAGATGGACGGCCTTTTGCAGATGAATTTGGGCCTCCAGAAGATGGTTTCAGTGTGGAACCCTGAGCAGGAAGATAGAATATCTTACAGGCAGAAAGAAACCTTAAGATCAACAGAATCAGCAATTCCACCCTGATTAAGGTTTTCAGTGGATCAACTCACATAAATTAAACATAGGGAAGGATCGTTGACGCAAACCAAGATGGGACTAAAAACATAGATTTACTTGTAAAACTAGAGGACAACTGTGTGGTTTCTGTGCTCTCAGAAAGAAAAGGCAAAAAAGTTGCAATAAAACCAAGTCTACTTATAATCTGCTCCCTTTTCTTCTCCAAAGGGTACCAATATGAAGATAGAGAAAAACATCACTTCTTAGAACACTGCCCAATTAAAAAAGGAACTCGCTTGAAACAGATATGGTACACCCAAATGAATCAGATAATTAGGTTTTAATTTGTCAATATTAAATTTAAGGACCATGAACAGCTTACTATCACAAACAAAAGGCAAACAGTGATCCCTCTCAATTTTATGTGCCATTAAAATTTCGAATATGATTCTAAATAATACGTAACGACGAATGGCAGAAGGTAACCTTGTTTGCAGTGGATCGTGTAAGAAGAGATGGGCGTCTTCCAAGCTGAGTATGAGACTGATCCAAAACACGAAAACATCCTGCACGCCTGATGTCCCAAAAGCGAATGGCGCCATCGCATCCCCCTGTTACCAAAACCCACTCACTAGAAGCAGACCATTCAACCGACATTACTCCATCTGCCATTACCCAAGAAAGAAAAACATCTAAGGGCTTCTGAACTAGTGGTGGCACTTACAAAATGCTTGAACGAGAAATAAAAAAATTATGACTCTGTAGGAGTGGTCCATTGATTTGGAGAGGTTGAAAATGGACACACTGTTCTTTTTTCCTAAAGGTGTTTGATGGGACACACAAGTTTAAGATGTTAATTTGACTTGAGGATTGTACAATGGTAGCAGAAGAAAATATTGAAGTAATGGTTGAATAGTTAGTTTGATAGAGAATATATTGAACCTGCCCCTCTACCCTTCTCCACTTAAATACAATATGTTTGTCAGCAGTAAGGTTTGAACCCAAGGATAACTTCCAAAACCTCACGACATAAAGATATTGAGAAAAACTCCCCAGTGGATAACACCAAGTCTGGTAGATCTAAAAGGTACAGCATAGCAAAAGCATATACTTTATTAATGTCAGTAATAGATATCAGCTTACCACGATGGCCAGATAATGTGTGAGCAAATGCACCCGAAGAAATATCACAAAGACGAACTTGAACATCTTCAGTTCCAGCAGCAATTAACATGTGTGATGTTGCCACCGGAGACATGGCAGTCTTGTACACTTTTCCAGGCATTTTGAAATTAACTACCACCTTAAGAACAATTAAGGAAATCCAAAATTAGGCAAGAAACTTGTTTAATAAAAAGAAAAATAAGCTGAAAAACTACACTTCAGTGGAGTATAATAAGATGGTCAGAAAGCAACACTACCTGTGTTGTGTTAGTATCCCAGACATTAACGTAATGATCATAAGAGCCTGTAATAAAAAGTCCCGTGTCAATCGGATACCAGTTGGCTGTGGAAATGGCATATTTGTGGCCCTGCTCATGTTGCTTGTCAACCAAAAGTATGTGTTTGTGCTTTGCAATCAGACCACTTTCATCGTAATCAGTTGCACGTTGGACATCATAAACAGCAACTGATGCATCCGAAGCAGAGGATAACAGATATCGTCCCTCTGTCAAATCAACCTGATTTTGTGATCACAATAAATGTACACAAAGGTACTTTTAAAATAATGCAAGTTCCATCTACATACCTCAACCAGATATAATCTGGCAAAAATTATCTAAAATAAACATAAAGATAAATGAAGATAACTTAAAAGAATTCAAAATTTAGTTTCATGTACTACTCTGAATAATCTAAGTTGGTTGGACTCTTCACTTTCGGTGCCGCACCCGTGTTGACATGATGTGGGTGTGGGTGTGGGATCCGTACCCGACTGGTCAACAGGTTTTGGATACTTTGACCAAATTTGAGGGAGAAATTTTGGACAGATTCAATGATTTCTGTAATCAAAACAAAACCTAAGGTGAAATTGAAGAAAATGGAATGCCTTGTATATATAAATTTCTATTGCCACTCCCTTTCCTTTTATCTCTTTCCAAGATTCTCCTCTTGATCATTTTCTCCTCCTTGAGTCTTCCATATAATATCTCATAGTTTAGGCTTTATAACTCTATGTTTAGCCGAATCCCCAAACCCGTATCCACACATGGATTCGTATCCCGAATCTTAAAATTTAGGTCATAGAGGATCCGACCTCTAGATCTGCACCCGTATCGGATACCCGCACCTGAGTCCGAGTAACTTAGGCTAAAGCCTTAATTTCCTAACAGGCATCTAACCAAGCTCATAATCTGACTTTCTCGAGAAAAAAATACTGTGTGCAATTGAGACCAAGATTACCATATCCACAATCCAACTTTTTCCGTAGTGTTACACTTGTCTGAATTACTTCTCCAAAAGTAAATCCTAGTTCATTTTTACATTTCTATGGTTAACCATTATTTCCATGAAGCACGTATCACCAAGTTTTTTCAGGCGGAGTTTGTATATTAATATTCAAGTAAACATGTTCGAAATGACCAAGGGGCAGAAAGAGTATTCTCATCTCGCGTTTCTTTGTAAGGTATGAAGATGCAATTGACACAAATGCACACAACATGCACACTATAAGGCACCAAATATATAAGGGAGTTAATGGTTTGATGCAAAATAGAGATACTTGGAGATAGCACTGCATCAACTTCCATTAAGCTTAATTTTAAATTTTATGCTTTATGTGGACCACTACATTCTATTAGCTTAGAATTTTCTTGGAGCTAATGCCAATCAATTCCACCACCTCAATCACAAAATACTAGGGCTCAGCTATATGAATCATCAGCCTCTATATGATCTCTTTAATCCCATTCTTTGAAACTAAAATCTGTTCCATGTATGAACTACGTGGAGGATAGCACATGGGGATGAGTTACAATAGTTTATTTATCAACATTTCAATAAGGAACACTCGGAGTTAATGATAGTCATAGAAGCCAGAAAAGTTTTTTTTTACAAGGCATAAAAGTTGGAAAAGGTTGACATTGCAATGAAACTTGCCTAACTAGAAAACACGACCTTAAACATATCAGACTTATTCTTTGTGAAAAAAGTTAACTATGTGTGTGTTTTAATTTATAGGTCACTCTTCAATTCGGGATGTTAAAAAATGTTAAACATCATCCATTTCTATCCAACTTTTAGATGTCGTTTGGACATGTGATTTCAAATCATGATTTAAAGTTATTTTGACAAAGCAATTCTGATTTCAAGTCAACATTTGTTCATCACATTTTGAACAAAACTTCAACTTTAAATTCTAATTTCAATCCAATTCACCTCAAAGGTAGAAGTTCAACTTCAAATTTGGGATTTCAAATTTTCTAAAATTTAAAACTTGGCCCATGAAACACACCTAAATATAAGTTGGTCCGGCAAATAGGAATCCTTTGTTAATCGTTAATTTATGTAGGTGTGCTCGTTTGGTAAGATTTTACGCTCCATAGTTTCAAAGTAGAAACTTGAAAATTTGAGTTCCTCAAGTTGTGACTTTTGGAATTTCAAGTTGTGTTTGGGCATGCATTACTTGAAAAAAATTAAAGTTTGTGAGGGAAGTCCTAAAAACCCCCAAAAAACAGTCTTTAGGGAAGTTAAAAATATTTAAAGATCAGATTTTGAAAATCCGATCAAATTTCATGGTCAAATAGTTATCTGAAGATAAATTTTCAAAATCTATGGTCAAACGCTAGCTATAAGAGTATACAAAAGTTATGATAGTTTTAACAAATAGTGTTTTTTCATGCTAGTACAATTTGATTTCAAACCTTTGTGTACAAAACTTCTAACAAAACACAATTTCAACTTCAAATCAACCTTCACCCAAACCATAATCATAAACTTCAAGTTCATATCCAAATCCCTACTTAAAAACTGAAAATACAGTAACAACATTCACCTACTAACTTCAAATCATAGGTAGATCCGGTTCATCAAAAAGAAAGAAAATGAAATGTGACCTGAAGGGAGTTGACGGAGCCACGGTGAGGAGAAATGATATCTTTGTAGTTGGAGAGTTGAATAGAAGCGATTCTAGCCGACTTAATACGATTGCTGAATAAATTAGGGCGAAGCTTGCCAAATTCTCTGTCTCCGATCTCCTTCCACATCGTCCTCGCATCCTTCCCAACCAATTTACTCCTCTCTAAATTACCCCAATCACAAACACCCAAAAATTATCTATACTTACACAAATCAGCTCTGATTCAACCAAAAATTGAAGATTGAATAATCTAGTGATGAAACCAATCCTGTCCTTTGTTGTTTCTTCTGAACATTTCCTCAAACACTTGGTGGGTTTTCTTCGATTTTCGATTTGCCCCCTTTTTTGTACAGCCCTAACGCCTGGCGATGAAACCCGATGTGAGAAATGGATAAGTATAAAGAGGGATTTTGCAGAAAGGCCAAAAGATGACGAGATGTCTTCGTGGAGAGGTACTATTCACCTTTTCTTTAATCTTTTCTGAAATAGAGAGTATTTTGGGTGTGTGTACTTGTTACGAAAGCGAAAACACGTTCCACAAATGATATTATAAAATAGTTCAAGGTTCGCGTGAGGAAAATAGTAATTAAGATTGGATAATACCGCAATAATTATAGTATTTTATTTCAATATATTGAAATGTTACATATTGTATGAAATCTTTGATTCTTCTTTTAAAAAATGATTTAAGGGCTTTCGAGTTTGATCTTGGTTTGTAACTGAATTCGAGGGGTTTAAAGATTGACCTTGACTTGTGTTTGAATACAAGGGTTTGAAACTTAGATTGTAGAGAAATTTGTTGTGCTTAATCCATTCGCTCTCTCTGCCTTCTTGATGTGGCGTAGCTTCGTCCCTAGCTGAAACATGAATAATTTTAACCATCCATAAACAATTTAAATTTCAGGCAGAGGGGGTTACTACATACCTCTTCCCCTTGCCGGAACATGACACATGTACATATGACACATTTTTATTGACCTCTAATTTGACTAGACATATTGCGTCTTTTTAACTAAGACACAATCAATGCATGGAACCAAATACCAACCTCCTCAACAAGGACACAACCCTCGACTCTAACTCAGAGTTCACCCCCTCCATCTTCCCCTGTTTGAGTTTTAGGACGTGATCCCTAACCCCCGGCCTTAATCCTAGACCCAACCTTAACTCAAAACCTAACTTGACTAGGATTCGAGACACAATATCGATTCTAGCCCGGGACCCGAGACCCAACCCTGACTAGTGATTTAACTTGACACTAATTGGGACTCGAGACACAACGCTGACCCTAGCCCGAGACCCAAAGCCCAATCTTAACTTAGGACTTAGGACTCTACATCATCCCAACCCTAACCCAAAACCTAAGATACCTGCTGAGACTTGATTCTAACTTGAGACTCGAACCATGAATTTTACTAGGAACCTAACCCCGCCCCGACCATGCACCCGAGACTTGGACCAATCTCTGACCCAAACTGAGGCCCGATCTTGATTGGAGAACTGAGAATCGAGCATGGCTTGAGATTCGAGACCCAACCCTAACCCTAACCCTAACCTAGGATCCAAGTCTCCTGAGGCTCAACCTTGACCCAATATCCGATTCGAGACGCAAAACTCAAGCTCCAACTCATAGAAAAAGTCAAAGTAAATTTCAAGTACTAAATCCAAATTAAAGTATATCTTAAATATGAACTAGAACTAGGTTGGTATTCTGCTAATTTAACAATTACTTTTGAAAATAAATTATGTTGTGTTGGCTAAAATAATCCAATATAAAATTATCTTCTGTTGACCCATAAAATTTCAGACAGACCATCAATTTTTTGGCCATATTTAACACTGGTACTTGTAGCCAATGATCTATGAGCTATTCAATTGGATACCTTTTGATGTCTATATAAGATATTCTACCATTAACGTAGATTATAAAATAAAATAAAAATATTTTTTTACTGACGTATCAATATATCTATAATCAATATTATATTAAAAAGGAGAAGAAAAGAACATAGTATGGGTACCTTGAACTTCAAAAAAATACGAGTACAATTCAAATCCAATTCAACACATATGAAGCTTATATTGCTACAAATATATTGTTCAACCAGCTAGCATTATATATGTGGTAATTAATGCAATTCTTATCATGTAAAAATATGATCAAGGACATGTTAAAGAGAGTGTCTGGATTTCCAGTCCAACTCCATAATACAAGATTTACAAATCAATAAAAAAAAATTGTAGTCACAAAAAAAAATGATTATCACTAGTTGCTGTTATATATGGACATGTTTCCCAGCAACCAATTTATGATCTTTTGGTCCATTCACTACACTTCTTGGAAATATTGGCCCTTCACATAATGTTATATTTTCTTCACTCAATTTTTTCACATGCCTCCTTTTTGTCCTTCTTGAGCTAGCTTTTATGATTGGAATAGCGTACCATCCAATTGATGTACACAATATCGCAAAACACCTCCCATAAACAGCTAAAAAAACCAATATCAAGATTATAGCCAATGGCATGTAATAAGTTGGCTTCTTGAAATTTGCTAACCTCAAATTCTTAAAAAAATTCCTTCTCTTAGATTCCACTTTTCGTTCTTCTGAAATATTTGATGAAACCTCGTGAATAGTCTTCTTATCAACAAACTCTGACTTCTTCTTGATCATTTGCTTGTCATCATCAGTGTCACTAGACAATGTTTGATTTTTGTCCTTCACTCTGACAACAATAGGCTTGATTGAATTTGAATTTGAGAAAACGAATCGTACAAAAGAGATATCATCAGATCCCATTTGAGTATAAATTTTTTGTTTTTTGTCTTCAAGATTGGCTAAGAGTTTCGAAAATTTGTCTAGGCCACGATCAGCATAAGGATTGTATGTACTATTTTTGCTTCTTTTTGATGATTTTTTTGGAGTTGAACAAGGGCTTGATGTTTCCCTATCATAATCTTCACCTTCTTGATTATGAAAATTTCCACTTCCACAAATAAAATGATTAAACATCTATGAAAAAAATATATATAAAGAGACTATAGGGATTTTGGATGATTTTGGTTTTGGAGTGATAACTTTATTGTTGAATTTAGAGACTATTAAAGAAAAATAGAGGGTGCAATAAGCTTATATTTATAAGAGTTTGACTAGATCTAAAAGAGGGGGAATATAGAAATAGTCAAATCAAAAGAGAGGGCTTTGAACTTTTCTTATATATCTATATCATTTTGTTTGTTATTTAATGTGGAATATTATATATATATATATATATATATATATATATATATATATATATATATATACACATGAATAATGTACTTTTGGTCCCTCAATTAATAACTAATTCTTGTTTTGTTAAGCACATTTAACGTTGAGGACTCATAATTGGTACAAGAGATAAGGGATAACTAATTCTGAAATCAATTTTAGAATGAGTTTATCTCATGTTTGATAATTGATTAGGATAAAATCGATGAATAACTTGTTCCTAAACCAAACGAGCCAAATTATAAGAAATTCATGATTTATAAAATTATAATATCCTCAAATATGGGATAATAATACACATATAAATTAATACGTTGAAAATTGAATGGTTTAGTGCTTAATAATTCGTTGATTTTGTGATGATTCATAGCCAGAAAGATCAAAAGTGTGCATATATATATATATTTATCAATTAATTAAAGGTTAAATATGTTTAACTAGAAACAATGAGGACTGAAATTAAGGATTTATCAAATTAGAAGGACCAAAATTGCTGATTTTTCTATAAAATATTTCGTTGAATCTTCTTTGGAATATTATTGTTCGTTTGACTAATTAAATTATTGTAAAAGAGATAAGTGTAGCACGATGAAATAATTTAATTTATACTTCTAGCAGTTCGAATATATTATAAAATAAAGTTTGGGTGATATTCTTGGAGGAGTAGTTTGATTGGTCAAAAATACACTACAACATTGACATGTAGTCTACTAATTATAAAATAAATATTGTTAAAATGGACTGTGATATGTGTTCGAGTTTATTTGAATTCAGTATTTTTAATATAGAGTATAAATTTATATAAAATTATATAAAAAATTTGTAACAAATACAAGATTTAACTTATCATTTATAAGTGGTTATAAGAGATCATTGTATCTTTTATTCACCCATACTTATTTTTTCAAATTGAAAAATGCAGGTCAACTTATTAATACGACTAATAAGACAAAACACATATTGGAAAAAGAGATAAACTTCTGGAGTTATATATATAAAAAATATAATATAATATAATATAAGAAATTTCAATTCCTTTTCTCATTTTTTTATTTTTTTTTCAACTTCATTTATCTCTTTTTTTTCTTTCCATTTTTACAAGTAGTGATGCACATCGTATCCCTAACGTGCCTTGTACAGTTGTACTAATAAATTAGGTGTCGTTTGGTAGGGAGTATTAGAAAAAATAGTCTATGTATTATGTATGATATTATTTAGTACTATATTTGATAGAAATTTCAGTCAATGTATAACTAATCCATGGGTTTTTCTTATCAACCCCTTTCTTGTTTTCTTCTGCAACGAAAAAATCATTAGCTTTTACGGAATTCTTTCGTACCTCAGGCATCGATCCTCTGTAATCAAATTTCAAGTTCAATATGCTAGTAAGCTGAAAGTTGAAGTTATAGAAAAAACAATATAAACATTTGAAATAATATTTGCTAAATTTTTTATTTAAAGAGAGATCTATCTTAATAGGAGAGTTAATAGGAGAGGCACTCAGTGACGGTGAGTGTCTCGCCTATATAGTGAGTTGACTAACCATTTTTCATGGTGCCAACAAATCCCATGAAAATCGATGCCTTTGTCAAATATTATCGTACTTGAATCATCATCAATGTCATCAACTAATTTAGCTGATTCCATTGTTACCAAATAAAATTTGTGAACATTTTATTTCACAATGATAGCATGTGCAACATTTTCCAATAATACCAAGAAAGAGAAAGAAAATAAATTTGTCAAAACTCACCGAAAAAAGTATAGTACGGATTAGTCGCTTAAGATCTTTGGTCTTTATTCTTATTCGACGAAAAGCCAAACAAATAAAATAATAGTACCATAATTCCTTTTCTCATTTTCTTTCTTTTTTCGAACTTCATTTTTTCCATTTATAAAAGTAGTGCACATCATATACCTAACATGCCTTGGTAGTAATTAATCAGAGTGATGATAAACACATGTCCGTCCAGACAAAAAAATAACAGATATCACAATATCGCTTTTGATTTTTTTTCAATACATAAGTAATAAATATTACTTTTAAAATATTTGCATATAATTAAATATCATTCAATCTTGAAGATTGATTTTGAAATTAAGAAGGGAGAGATCTCGTAATGGCGACATTAAGAAATTATTTGGTCCTTAAAAGTTGTCCTTTTCATCATATTATTAAGAATAAAAATTTCACTGAGTGGATAAAATATGGTACTATCACCAAACTTTAATAATCTAGAGAAAATTATTTATGACTAAATGTTGGCAACTAAAGTTAAGACTTAAGAGTAAAGTTATTTCATTTCAAATAGTTTAAAAGCAAAATTAATCTTTTACTTTATTAATAATATTATTTAAAAATATTTATATCGTCAATCCCAACTAATTTGAGACGAAAAACTGTACTAATATTTCAATTTATGATAGTGGGACATGTGCATTGTGCCCCCTTTGGATGTGTGCTTTTGAATTTGAAAATCTGTCCAACAGAACTGTCTACATATGGTCCTAACAACTTGCTTTTTTCATTTTTAAGACAAGAAGAATATGGTCCAACCAAAATAACCTAATAATTCAAAAAGAAAAGTTGGAAAAATAAATTCCATCTTGAAATTATTTTTTCTTTTATAATGGTCCAAAATGTTGATAATGATAGTAAGATATTTTCAGTAATACATGTGATGTTTACTATAAAGAGAAAATTAAAGTTGCAATTTTACCAATTAGGCTTCAACACAACATGTGAACTTAGATCACTATGCAAGTAACAATCATGACTAATTATACTTCATATTGGTCTATTATACACTGTCTTATTTGAGTTTTCATATTTTAAATTTACGAATATTCTATCACTCCACAACAATTTCTTCTCACCCTCGTCCTCAAGAGAATCAATAATATTTTCACTTACCCTCCAGCATAACTCGAATCCTCAAATTACTGATTGATGAAAAAAATACTCAACCATTTGAACAAGCCTCACTTAGCTTGTCTCACTCGACAATCGACGACATCTTTTATTAATATACGAAAGTCTGGTCCACAAAGATTTCACTTAGCATTTGCCATGCGAAAAATATCGATCACATTAATCTATTATATATATATAATACACAGTCTTTCTTTATATTTCTATGTAAGAATTAAAGGATATTTTCATATTCTCAACTCGTAATATCGTGATCACTTGACAATAACTTTACTGTTACGCAAAGAATATAGTGTGAGAACTCAATATAGTATTAGAAAAAAGGTGTTGAGTGGGGTAGTTGGATACTTCATAGTGGGGACAAAATGACAGCCAAATGTCCATATCTCAATTAGTTAAGTTACATTACTCCTCTTTTGCCTCACCATTACTTTTTTTATCTACCTATTTCTCTCTTATCTTTGCTACAAAAATCAAGAAAAGACACTTTCTTGATAAACCTAAAAACTTGTCAATGGCTTTTGCAGGAACAACACAAAAATGTATGGCATGTGAAAAGACAGTGTATTTGGTTGATAAATTAACTGCAGACAATAGAGTGTTTCATAAAGCTTGTTTTAGATGCCATCACTGCAAGGGTACTCTCAAGGTTTGTTCTTTTTTACTACTATGATGATGGGAGCATTTCGGGTTATAGGTCTAACCATTTCGATTCCCTTGTTTCTGGTATGCTATAGTTATTAAAGTCCCTCGACAATAAGAATAGGAGATAAGTCATAAGCTAGATGTTTTACGAATCATATTAAACTTTAAGGCATTTAGTTTAACTTTAATTACCCCATGAAGAGGCGCACTCTGATACCATCGATGTCCAATAGCTTAAAGGCCCAATTGCATCATAGGAATTTGAAAATATGTCCCAATTGTGTTTAAGTATTTCATTTTTGTCTTGATAACCCTATGTGGATAACTTGTACGTATCTCGATTAATTTTATAGGATACCTACTATCTTTCCGCCGTCACAGGTACCGGGAATTCTTGGACAATTGAAAATAAAGCACCTAATAACTTTTATCTCCGTTTAAACCTGAGACCTCATGATTTTTAACCTATTTTATTGACTAGTATGCCACACACTTGGCTAGTGGTTTCTCATTTTTTAGATTTCAATGACATAAAAACATAGCATAAAAGAAAGTAGATATTAGACTTGTTAATTCAATTTTCCAATTTAATTATTACTCTTTTTTAATCTTGTTTAATACATTAATTTGCAGCTTAGCAACTACAATTCCTTTGAGGGAGTTCTATACTGTAGACCTCACTTTGATCAGCTCTTCAAAAGAACTGGAAGTCTTGACAAAAGCTTTGAAGGTACAAAAAAAAAAGTGCCTAATTTCAAATCATCAAATTTTGCTAGTCAAAAAATTTACTAATAGACTAAAATATATTCCAGGGACACCAAAAATTGTGAAGCCAGAGAAAGATGAGGTAATTGACATCTATATTGCTCGGACTCTCCAAATATGTTGCATCATCCGTGTAAGATCCTCCAAGAATACACTGCTTTTGGAGGACCTAACACGAATCTGTTGACATTTTTGAAGAGTCTGAGCAAACATATCTTGATTTGTGAATCAGAGGATAATTTGTGAATAACCCTAATCTATGTTTTGAATATTTGAAACAGAAACCACAGGCAGCTAAAGTTTCAAGCATGTTTGTTGGAACAAGGGAGAAATGTTTTGGCTGCAAGAATACTGTTTATCCAACAGAAAAGGTACTGCAATAAGCTAGCAATATTTTGGCAACAATTTGCTTGTTAACTAATCCAAAAGTTCACTGCTAGTAAATATTGGTAGATTTTTCATGTGAAATGTGATCTTTTGTATGCTACACCAAAAGCTTTGCTAAAAGATGTGTACAGTAAGAGCTCTCTGTAACAGTCATTCTTTGTAACAACATTTCACTATAACAATCAAGTTTTTGGTGGAGCAAACTTTCATATTTTGTTATATAATAAGTTATCTATAACAACATTTCGCCATAACGGTCAAGTTTTCCTTGGAACCGACTTTCATGTTTTGTTATGTTATAAGCTATCTATGACAACATTTTGCTATAGTAGCCAAATAATATCTGGACAAATGACGTTGTTATAGAGAGGTTTGACTGTAAATAGCAGTGGGATCTAGAGAACAACCTATGAATTCACTAATCTATAGATATTTGACTATGAGCTCAGTTATTATTGTATATTAGCTTGAGGTCGTTGTCTATAAACTTCAAAGTATGAATACACATCTGGATGTAAAAGAACCTAATGCTTATTGTTGTTAGTACCTTCAACCCTTGAGATAAAATGTAGTAATTTGATGTTGTGTTTATAGGGAGGGAGGTGAACTTAGATAGGTTCTTATGAATTCAATTAAATCCATTGTTTTTGGCTTTAAATATATGCATATACAAGAAATTCTAAATTCTTGATTCGCCTTTGTCTATAGGTATCTGTGAATGGAACACCATACCACAAAAGTTGCTTCAAATGTAGCCATGGAGGCTGTGTAATTAGCCCATCCAACTATATTGCTCACGAGGGGCGCCTCTACTGCAAGCATCACCATGTTCAATTGATCAAGGAGAAAGGAAACTTAAGCCAACTCGAGGGCGATCACAACAAGAATTCATCAGTTAGAACAACAGAATCATAAAACTCCCAACAATATATCTAGTTTTTCATGAATAAATGTTATTCAGCTTGAATCTACTTCCTTTTGCTAGCCTATTTTTCTATCTTCTACTTGCACAAAATTGATTCTCAATCATAATATTATTCTTGTGTATGTTGAACTTCTTTTTGGCCTTTGCTTCTTGTTTCACTTGTGTTGTTGAAATTTCGATGCTAAAACTAAGTCGATAAATAAATTAAAATCGAGCACAATGCATCTCTCATCTTGTGTTTTCACAGTTTACTTTTTCATATATTGAACATACTTTGGTGATAATCCTGGATCCGCCCCTAATTCTGGCAGATTTGATGGAGACAACTTAACTTGATCCATCTAGTGTAACTAATTTAGCAAGTCCATTTGCAATTATTTACCTTCCTAGTCACTAGATTGGTTAAGACATTCTTAACACACAATTTTAGCCCATCTAATGTGGCTTTAACCTCAGCTTAATTTCCAGAAACAACATTAATTTAACATATAGTCGGACACGTCATATGATTGATCCTTACACCCTCGTCTGAATGACATGTTGAATACCACAAGATATTAAGAATGCTTTCGAAATAATCACACATTAGTCACAACACTATCTCATAAATGAAAAAAGAAAAATTCTTAAAATGACTCAGTTGGTTTAGAGGGTGGTCATCTACACGGATGACCTGGGATCAATCCCCCCCTCAATGCCTTCTGAGTCGAGTCTATCGCATAGGGCTTGCCAGGTGCATTTTATATCCCCTATGTGGTTTGCAGGTTATTACACAGTGGAGGGTTTACCCAGTGCGCAATACTCCCCCAAAAGGCAAAGGCCGTGGGCTGTGGCAGAGGTTGTAGTGATTATCCTGGGATTCCAATATATATATATATATATATATATATATACTAGTCCTTGGACACGTGCTTTGCACGTGTATTCCATACAATTATAAACTACACAAACACACACAGTCAAGTGTGAACCTGTGTGATCCAAACAGAGTCCATGCCCACACTTCAAAATTCAAATATGCAAAGGATTTCACGGATCAATTACATCTATCTGAATTTGAGTTTTATTACAACATAAGCTTTTCAGAAATACATATTATACTAAAAGAAGTGAATATGATGCTAGCATAACAATAATACAAAAAGTGGAAAATATTTGTAGCTAAATCAATTGGAATAGATTTACCTGAAGTAGACTCTTCTTGGAGGAGAAATCTAACCGAAAAAAGGCAAATGGAATAATGGGACAAACACACCTTATGATGCACTTTATAGAGTATTTTAAAGAATATGAAAAGATGGACCACAATAAATATCATGGAGAAGATAAAACTACACCTATGTACAACCAGTAAAAATCAAGAAATTTAATATTAATAAGTACTATAAATGAAGAATGTAAAAAGACTCTATGGAAGATGAAAGAAAGAAAATTTAATGAGTGAAATAATTTAGGGAACCTATACACATGTGACATGACCATAATTTATTGTTGTTACACAATGTCTTCCTCACCCTCACCAAACGTTTTTGTTCCTCTAAACATGCAGTGAAGGAGAAGGTGAAAGAGATAAATAAAATTATGGCAGTAAACATTTTCAGAAAGCATTAATATAGTATTTTGATTCATTGAATTTGAGGGGCAAATGAATTTTGTTATATTTTCTTATGTAAACAAAAGTTATTGAAATGAAGATTTGCTTTTACTTCAAGGACAAAATGGTAAACTAACTTTTGATTCATTATTATTATAGATATTAGTTATTATTTATGAATAATAACTCAACTTTATAGGGTTATTTTGGTATTTCAACTTTTAACTTTTTTTGCATTCATTTTTAGTGAAATAAAATTAATAATTAATACTGATATTATTGTAGTAACTCAACTTTATAGGATTATTTTGGTATTTCAGCTTTTAACTTTTTTGTTCCCACTTTTAATATATATATATATATTATAAGATAAATTTAATTAATTTACCAAGAATATAATTCATCATTAGTTTGTGCTAATTATAACAGAAGAAAATCAAAAGTTCAACGATTGCAAGCTTCCATAGTAAGTATTTATTGAAGCAATTACTTAGCATTTAATATAATGTTATGAATATAATTCATCTGAAAAATTTTATCCCTTTGCACGGTTGGAGTAACTGAGGTACACTTAAGGGTCATTTTAACTGTTGCAAAACTTTTGATTTCTTTTTGTCATTTAATAGGATATCATCCAATTGTACAAATATTCATTGTATCTATATTAATTCATGTCATAGATTGTGAGTTCTCCATTTTTAGAATATTAATATTACTATTATAAATATATTATGATATTTATTATAATTATTGTGTATTTATATGTTTGTTCATAAATATGTAATAATAGTGTTTAATAGAAAATACAATAGTTTTTATTTATATTTAATGTATATTTACATTTTTGTCCATAAATATTATGATATTATAAGGATATTTTTGTAATTCAACTTTTGACATAGAGGCTTCCTACTTATAATATAATATGATATATATATATACAACCTATATACCTAGGGAATAAATTTTAAAATCAAGTGGGTAGGGAAAGATAAAACAAAAACACAGAGATTCAATCAAAGCATGACATACCTTCTTCCCTTCCGATTTAAATATTGTTCTTAAATATATTAGGGTCAATACTTATTCAGGTATGTATATCAAATCAATTTAATTTATCATGATTAGATAATTTAATTAAGTGCAAAAAATGTGATTATAACTAGAAACTTTAAACCTTACATAAATTTTCACCCTCCAATCATAATTACTTTCTCAATTTCAATTATATGGTCGTATATTAGTATCTATCTATCTATCTATCTATCAATCCATCCATCCATCCATCCATCCATTCATCCATCCATCCATCCGTATCCATCCGTATCCATCTATCTATCCATCCGTATCCATCCGTATCCATCTATCTATCCATCCGTATCCATTCGTATCCATCCGTATCCATCTATGTATCCATCCGTATCCATCCATCGATCCATCGATCCGTATCTATCCATATCTATCTATCTATCTATCCATTCATTCATCCATCCATCCATCCATCCATCTATCCATCCATCCGTATCCATCTATCTATCCATCCGTATCTATCTATCTATCTATCTATCCATCCATCCATCCATCCATCCATCCATCCATCCGTATCCATCCGTATCCATCTATCTATCCATCCGTATCTATCTATCTATCTATCTATCTATCTATCCATCCATCCATCCATCCATCCATCCATTTATCCATCCATCTATCTGTCTATATGTCTCTCTCTATCGATCTATCTATCTATCCATCCATCTATCCACTGCCGCCCTCCACACTCCTTTGCAATAGTCATGACTTCTAACAATAACATTTTGTAGAGGCCCAATGGTCGAATGTTTTCACCTTTGTAAAAATTGTAGGCCCATGAAAGTTAATCTTTCAGGTCAAAGTTGACCCTATGACTACCTTGTTCTACTATAATCTTCAACGTAGCATCTATATTTTACAATGACGATCGATAAATAAAGGGCAAGGTCAAACAATTTCAGATGTTGAATTGTATCTACCATAACATATTTTTTCGTATGACCAACTATCCATAGCACTTCTAAGAGGAATTTCATTGGCCATGGCGAAAGTACCGGTTATGACAGATCAACCAGGTCGAAAGACGGAGGTAGTCACAAGAAATATCGCTTACAAGGAAGTATTAGGTGAGATACGATTGATAACATTTGAAAGTAATGAACCTAAAAAAAAAAAAAAAACATTACATGAAGCTAATGAAACTACTTTCATTAGATTCATTCATTTGTTCAGTTGGATAAGAGACGAGATGACCATCACCATACAAATTCTGAATAAATAATCATACAAATTAACTATTTACAAACAAATTATCATAAACTTTAGCCCCAAATTTTTTATCACACTAATATGAAAGTTTGAAACATATGATTGGATACTATTTAACGGTTATAAGAATCTCAAAAATAGACATACATGTGCAACACACGTGCGCCGATTTAGTATAAAAAATATGTCATTAAAATAAATTATAGAATTTTAAATTACTTTTTTAAGTATAACAAATGATATATGTTTTGTAACGGGACTAACAAGAAATAAGTATCATGTGAAGTGAAAAAACAAAGCGTGTATATACAAAAAGAGAAAAGTTAAAAAAAAAAGATATTTTCCCATAACAGGCTAACATGAAATGATGAGTATCACGTGAAGTGAAAAAATAAAAATAAAGTATCTATATGAATAAGAGATTCAAAACAAACATGTCTTCATTAATATGTTTGCTTCATGTTAAAGGTATTCTTGAAATTTCAAATCACTTTATTGATGTATTTGCTTCATGTCGAAAGTATTTTAGAAACTTTTGTGTATATGCTTTGAATGTGCTTTTAAAACTACTTACAAACAAATTATCGTAAACTTCAGCCTCAAATTCTCGCTCAAACTAAGGGAAGTTCAAAACATATGATTGGATACTATTTAACGGTTATGAAAATCTCAAGAATAGACATACACGTGCAACATACATACGGTGAATCTAGTATAAAAAATATGTCATTAAAATAAATTAGACAATTTAAATTATTTTTTTTAAGTATAACAAGTGATATCTTCTTTGTAATGGAACTAACAAGAAATACGTATCACGTGAAGTGAATAAACAAAGCGTGTATGTACAAGAAGAGAAAAATTATAAAAAATTTGATATTTTTTCATAACAGACTAAACCAAAACAAAGTATCAATACAAATAAGAGATTAAAAACAAACACGTCTTCATCAATGTGTCTGCTTCATGTTAAAGGTATTCTTGAAAGTTCAAACCTCTTATTGATGTATTTGCTTCATGTCGAAATTAAATATTTAAGAAACTTTAATGTCTTTGCTTTGAATGTGCTTTTAAAACTAATTACAAACAAATTATCGTAAACTTCAGTCCAGATTCTCGGTCACACTAACAAAAGTTTGAAACATATGATTGGATACTATTTAACGGTTATAAGAATCTCAAAAATAGACATACACGTGCATTACAGTGAATCTAGTATAAAACATATATCATTAAAATAAATTAGAGAATTTAAATTATTTTTTTATGTATAACAAATGATATCTTTTTTTGTAATGGAACTAACAAGAAATATGTATCACGTGAAGTGAATAAACAAAACATATATATACAAAAAGAGAAAAGTTTTTAAAAAATAATATTTTTTCATACCAGACTAACATGAAATGATGAGTGTCAAGTGAAGTGAAAAAACTAAAACAAAGTATCAATAGGAATAAGAGATTAAAAGCAAACACATCTTCATCAATGTGTTTTCTTCATGTTAAAGGTATTCTTGAAATTTCATGCCTCTTATTGATGTATTTGCTTCATGTAGAAAATATTTTAAAAACTTTAATGTCTATGCTTTGAAAATGCTTTTAAAAAATAATTTTTCATTAATACCTTGATCCCAAATCAATAAAAAATTAAAATAAATTCAACATGGGTAAAATACTTATAACGTTACTATACATTTATAAATAAGAAAAATATATCATTTTTTTAAAATTGACTAAAAAAATACGTCACATAAATTAGAACAGAAAAGTAGCTAAATCACTTTTAATATAATTTGTTGGGCTCGTTGCCTCGTACTAACACACAACTTTGCATCTAGTATACATATAAAGAAAAAAAAAGATAAACATATAGTACCTTTTAACTTTACGATTTAGAGCTTGTCACATTCAAAACATCGTCAGTATCTTAATATTCATTTAACGTAATTTCAAATATAGTGTTAAACGCCTGTTTAAACAAATAATGCATATATACCCGCCATGTTGACAAAACCTAGACAAAAAATAGTATATATATACTGTTGTGGTATTAAAAAAAGTGGTGCATATATATCGCCGCCAAAGATTAATCCAAGTGGTTCATATATCCTCGCCACTCATACAACGTTGTCACGTTCCCTTCGTCTTTTTCGGCAAAAAAAAAGTTTCACCAGTTAAATTGCTGACACACTCAAAGGTGCTTCTACAGTTCAACAGCTTTTCGCCATTATTTTTTTTCATCCACCATGTGAGTTTGAAGCTTTAGCACTGTTCTTGTTGATTTTGTTCAGAAAGTTGTGATCATCAATGGCTGGAATTGATCCTGTAAAGTACCCTTCTCTACCCTCGAATTACGTTACCATAGCTGAGCTCAAAGAACGATGGCTTAAAGAGAAAGAAAGAAAGCAGCAAGAAGAAAAGGAAAAACTGGAAAGTGGAGAAAAGGAAAAATACCCATTTCTTCGAAATCATGAAAACCGCATTGCAAATGGGTGTACTCATAGTCGAGGTCCAGTTGGTAAAAATCTGCAAAAGCGTGACAATCACAGTGGGAAAGGTTGGCGTGTGGTGGGTTTGATTGCTAAGGAACCCAAGTTAAAGGAGGTTAGGATGAATGGTCCAGTGGTTGAAGAAGGTGTTGATGGAGCAAGGGGAAAAGAGAAAATGGGCTATTTTGGAAAGAGGGAAGCTAGGGTTGAAAGAGATGGATCAGGAGATATGGCTAAGGTTTCGATGATTGATGTGGCGGAGGAAGAAATGATGGCTGTGGTGAGTGTGGAAAGGGGTGGAAAAGAATCATTTAAGGGTAAATGTAAGTGGAATAGCGGGAATCAGGAGGTTGAAGAAGTGGCTACTGTTTGCATGGTGGAGGTTGTAGGAGAAAGCAATGTTGATAGGGAAATTGCAGGGGGGGAATGTAGAGTTGGGTATAGGGGGAAGAAAAATAGCTGGAGTGCGGAGCAATCAGGACAAAAACAGAATGCAGGGAAGGAGAAGGTTTCAGTTGATGTGAAAGAAAGAATCACTGAGAAGGTGAGAGTGGGAGGTGCATTTCGTGCTTACGGTGATAAGGAAGTGGCTTCTGTTTGCGCGGTGGAGGTTGTAGGAGAAAACAAGGTAGATAGGGAAATCACAGGGCAGAATTGTGGAGTTGGAAATAGGGGAAAGAAAAATGGTGGTAGAAAGATGGGTGTTAGGATTGGAGAAGTGAGTAATAAAGCAGACAGTGTGGAGCAATCAGGACGAAAACATAATGCAGGGAAGGAGAAGGTTACAGTTGATGTGAAAGTAAGAACTAATGAGAAGGTGAGAGTGAGTGGTGCATTTCGTGCATACGGTGATAAGGAGGTGGCTTCTGTTGATGTGGAGGTTGTAGGAGAAAACAAGGTAGATAGGGAAATCGCAGGGCAGAATTGTGGTGTTGGGTTTAGGGTAAACAAAAATAGCTGGAGAAAGACGGGTAATAAGGTTGGAGAAGTGAGCAATAAAGCAGACAGTGTGGAGCAATCAGGACAAAAACATAATGCAGGGAAGGAGGTGGTTCCAGTTGATGTGAAAGAAAGAACTTATGAGAAGGTGAGAGTGAGAGGTGCATATAGGGGAAAGAAAAATAACGGTAAACAGATGGTTGATAGGGTTGGTGAAGTGAGTGATAAAGCAGACAGTGTGGAGCAATCAGGACAAGAATGCAATGCAGAAAAGGAAAAGGTTTCAGTTGATTTGAAAGAAAGAACTAATGAGAAGGTGATAGTGAGTGGTGCATTTTGTGCACACAGTGCTAAGGAGACCGAAGAAGTGGCTACTGTTTGCACAGTGGAGGTGGTAGAAGAAAACAAGGTAGATAGGGAAATCTCACGGAAGAAACATAGAGTTGGTTTTAAGGGAAAGAAAGCCAGCTGGAGAAAGATTAGTGATAGAGTTGGAGAAGTGAGTGATAAAGCAAACAGTGTGGAGCAATCAGGACGAGAATGTAATGCAGAAAAGGAGAAGCTTTCAGTTGATGTGAAGGAAAGAACTAATGAGAAGGTGAGAGTGAAAGGTGCATTTGGTGATAAGGAGGTTGAAGAAGTGGCTACTGTTTGCACGGTGGAGATGGTAGAAGAAATCAAGGTAAATAGGAAAATCGCAGGGAAGAAACGTAGAGTTTGGTATAAGGGAAAGAAACATAGCGGGAGAAAGATGGCTGACAGGGTTGGAGAAGTTAGCGATAAAGCAGACAGTGCGGAGCAATCAGGACAAGAACTAAATGCAGAAAAGGAGGAGGTTTCAGTTGATGTGAAAGAAAGAGCTAATGAGAAGGCGAGAGTGAGAGGTGCATTTTGTGCATACAGTGATAAGAGCAAAGATGTACTGATAGATTCAGAAGCCGGTCTGAATAGGATGATTGAGGGAGATCTTGGAGATTTATCATTGACTGATAGGAGGTATGGTCATGGGAGATCGAGTGTCAGGGTGTATGGTGACAAGTCATATGGGAGTTCCAGAAGGTATGATGTGCGAAAAATGTTGAAGCAGAGGGATAATAGCTTTGCGTGGATTAAAAAGGGGGAGTCTTCAAATGGCAATGTTGCTGAAATTGAAACGCAGGTAGCTAATTATGCTGGATTCCCTCTTTGAGTTCATACTACATGTTGTTTTCTTTTTTCTGATAAGCTGTTGCTTAATGTGTTCTTTTTGTTATTAGTGAATGCATTCTTAGTGCCTGTGTTTAGCTATAAGAACGCTTTATGAAGTGATGAATTAGCGAGCAAAATGCAAGAACCAAATAGAAAGAGAAGTAATAATTAGGAACGTAGAAATAAAACAGTCTTATTGTTTCTTACCATTTGTAAGGAACTTTGTACTAATACAAATAAAGAATATGGAAGGGGACTACTGCACCGTGCATACCGCTCTTTCGCAATTTCATCAGGCTGCATAATATGACATGTGAATTCGTGTTTAGTTTTCATCATAGGATTTTTGTCGAGAGAAAGGGTTATATGTGTTTAGTTTTCATCTTAGGATTTTTGTTGAGAGAAAGGGTTGTATTAAGAGCCATAATTTGAAGAGGATTAAGTTGTTTTGTCAAAGTAGTTTAAATTTAGGGATGTTCGAGAAAAAAGGTTTAAATATTCTCTGTTCAGGTTGTTCTACCTACTCCAGCATTTTAATAGGAATAATCAAATTAGGTCAAGAGTTTGAAGAAGGATGTTCTATTTTTATTATTTTTGCAAGATTACTGGAGTATGAAATTTGCAATTGATTTAAGTGTAAGAATACAAGTGGCACATACTAAATGGTGGATGAAAGATTTACATCTAAAACAAAAGTAAACCTACTATATTGATACTAAAATCTAAAATCTGAAATGCTTGTTGAAAGATCACAAGTTAAAATTGAACTTAAAAATTACTTGTTGTCCTACTCAATATACCAGCTTTGCTGTTCTTTTCTTTGACAAATATGGCCTCTTTTTATTTCTGTTCTTATTCCTAAGGCATGTTGCGGGGGTTTCTCTTAGGGGATGAAGGGAGGTCTTGGGACAGGCATTTTGTCCTCATAAAGGGCTGCTTAAGGATGCTAATAACCTAGCTTAAGAAAGCTAGTAAGTGGTTTCAAAGGGGTATTGAGGGGTTCTCATGGAAGGTGGGAAGAGGTGTCAGGACAGATATATTGTCCTAATAAAGGGCTGCTCAAGGTCATTTATAAGTATAACCTAGCTTAATAAGGCTAGTAAGTTGTTTCAGAACCAAAAAGAAGAAGTTATACCTTTAGCAGGCCTAGTGAGTAAATGATACATGAATACTAGCAGGTCAAATATTTATTGAGGTATCATTCTATTATTCCATCTCTATTTTGACAGCGTTGTCGTGTTGGCTAAAACATGGACTTTTAGTAGAAAAAGTGACATGTTTAAGGAATGGTGAAGCAATAAATTCTTTAAATTTATCTTATTTTAAAAACACCAAGTAATTTGATGGTAGCAATTTGGAGATATACCGAAGTGAATTTCTTTTTGAGCAGAACCTCAGAAAATATTCTTTATGATTGTCCCTTCCTTCCTCGGCTTTGTCGTTGGGTTTGTCAACCAGCTTGGCAAGTTTAGATTATTAAGCATCTATATTGGTGGAGGAAATAGGCTACTGTCCTACCATTTTTGTCACAGTTGAGTGATAAATTATTCACATAGCGAAGGGGGATAAGCTCACATTTCATGACCAAAGCCCCTTTATCTTATTAATTTCTTCTAAGCCTCAAGCTTGGCTAGAGCCCCCCAAGCGTCAGTCCGGATTACTAAATGTATCTTAGTTTCTTTATTTACTCCAAAATTTTGTTGGGTGAAGGAACATTTTCAAATTTTTGCAATGTCAATGAGGTAGAGCTTTTTTAGTTCTCAACTAGTAATTTGTTTGCAAGCTCCACCAGTCTACCTTAGCAACTACATGCCTAGCCTTGCTTAATTCTACATGCAACACATAGCACCTCTGTTTAAAGTTACCTGTCATTGCTGTCAACATTTCGACGATCATATGATTTCTGTAGCACTGACGTGATGAGTAAGTTCAACACATGTATAGTTGTTTATATACAACATATTTTATGGCTGCTGGTTATGCATATTATATTTATACTTACTGTGTTCATAGCTTTGTAGCTCTTTCGGTGTTTAAGGAATAATTTTTACTTTAGGACATGTCAATGTACCTTGTAAAGAGGAGATAGTCCAAATGAGAGAGAAGAAATACTCTATTGATTTTGATGTTGGTCCTGGATGTGCTGGCACTCTATAAATTTGGATAGTTATGTACTCAACTTCTTGGCCCCTTCTAGGGTTTCTTTTAAGGACCTTACTTGTTTTTCTTCATGTGAATGTACTATGGGAAAAAACAAACAGCTAATTTCCATATTTTCAGAGTTTTAGGAGTTCAAAGGCTGTATTGGATGCTCTAATAAAGAAGTCATATGCATATGAAGATACTTAACCGTATCAGTAATTTGTACTCTCTTTGTTTCAAGTTTTCAACTTATGTGACTTATTTTCCTTTTTAGTTTGTTTTGAAATGAATGTCACTTCTATATTTAGTAACTCTTTAATTCCAACATGTCACATTGCATATTTAAGGCCACAAGATTCAAAGGACATTTTACTACATTATATACATCTTTAGTTTAGGACCACAAGATTCAAAAGTCTCCCTTGCTTGCTTAAACTCCTCCAGGTCAAAGTCAAACTAGACACATAAAATGAAGTATAGGGAGTAATTGTTTTCTTGATCCACGTAAAAGTATTGGTTTAATCAGCTGAACAGTGTGATCCCAAAATTCTAGCTAGTGGCTGAGAGCACAATGCCATTCGATTACAGTGAGTGATGATACTTGGGGTCTGATAGTGGAGAGCCAACTTATATAGGGAAGGTTACCATGCGAAAGTTTAGCAGTAAAGAGAAGGCAACTACTAGATTTTCTCAAGGTATATCTTTATGAACTTACAAAATGTTGAAGTGTAAAAGTTTAATTTTGATATTAGGGGCTTGTATCCCCTCCCTACCCTGCCCTACTAGTTTGCCTATGTTTGTGGTTTTTTTGCGCAGATGATAGTCCTATTGTTTGATTATACTTGGTGACAGGTTATGTTTGGTTTTTACTGATTATCATATTGTTTCCTCTTTGCTTAAACTTGACAAAATATATAATGTACCAATTGCATATGCTTTATTTTGTCAGGTTCTCTCTTTTCTTTCCAACACTTGCATTTTGGTGAGCATCAGCTATTAAAGAAACTAGTAAAACTCTTGGCATTACTTCATCACATACAATGTGACAACTTGCTATTAAATAGTTGCCCATATTGAAGCATCATGAAATTTGTGGTTACTTGCCAACATAGAGAATGTATGTTGTGTTCGCTTTATCTCAGCAACTTTGTGATGTTACCCGATAAGCTAAGCGTAGCTGTAATTCCTCTTTGCTTTTATTTCTGAATATTTACCTTCTTTTTTGCTGAAACTGTTGTTTTCATCTGTTAGGGTTGATTTTTTCAAGCCAAAGTACAAGTCGGAGTAAGCTGTGCTCTCAGTGAATCAAGTCAGTTTCCTTACAGAAGTGGCTTCTTATTCATTAATTTCACCAAAACGATTGCAATTCTCATTGGAATTAAAACAACTTGTAAATTCGTCAGTCTTCTGAAAGACGGTTTCTCTCCTCCCCCTTGACCCTCTTGCGGTTTTATATTAATTGTAAATGAAAATGATGTCAAATCTAGAATCATGAACTATGCATTTTGTGTAAAGTTTAGTAGCCTTGCGAATGTCAACTTATTAGTGGCAGCCTCTTTTGAACATTATTTCAGTAATTCTTTTGGCAACTAATGTCACCATGAAAGAAACTTCTTGCGGGACTTTTTAGGGGTCGCAGCAGATACGTTTTAGGGACGGGCTATTTTCTGTGACCCTCAGGTTGCCACGAAAAGTCCTTTGTGGTGATATTTTCACTTTGTGGCTCTTTTTAGTTGCCAAAAAGAAAATCCCAATTCTTGCAGTGAGACTCCTTGAGAACAAATTGGATTTCAGAATCTCTTTGTGAAGGAGGATCAGAAAAGTAATTATACTTCAGGTATCTCGTGAAATTAGTCGAGGTGCGGGCAAGTTGGCCCAGACACCATGGTTACAACAACATACAAAGTGTAATTCCACAAGTGGGGTTTGAGGAGGGTGATGTGTACATAAACCTTACCCCTACCTTTAGAAGATAGAAAGTCGGTTTCCGGTAGACTTTTGGGTCAAATGAAACATAGAGAAAATAATAGAGAAAAAAACAGTCAAAGCCACAAATAGTAAAAACCACAAATAGTACGATAAATGAAGCAAAGAAAACAACAGGTAAGTAAAATTGAAGACTACAATATTAGAAGTATTACTAATAATACTATTGATAAGGAAAACTAAACAATGCTTGACTATCTGCTACCTTTTACCTTAAATCCTCGACTTATATACTGTTCTATCTAGGGTCATATCCTTGGTATGTTGTCATGTCCTGCCTACTCACATCTCCCTAATTCTTTTTTGGTCTACCACTCCTAAAATCAACTACAACCAACCTTCTGCACTTCCTCACTGGGCATCTGTGCATATTCTCTTCAAATGTCTTAAACTATCTCAACCTCACCTTCCTCATCTTGTCCACTACGCCCACCTTGTCCTATACATCTTCCTTCTTGATTTTATCTCTCCTAGTATTCCCACATTCATCTCAACATTCTCATCTCTGCTATTTGCATCTTTCGGACACCACAATTATTTTTAAAAAAAAGTAATTACACTTCGAGGTCTTATTAAGGATAGTTTTATGTTGCCCTTCAATATTTTCCCAAAGCTTTAATATGTGACTACACAATTTCCATGAACTAAAGCATAAACTGAGAGTAACAGATACAGGGATTCATATAGCCGACTTCAGATATCAATACAGTAGTTTGGAATTGATGTTTAATTGTTTGATAGTACAAAAATCGCATTGTATAATAGTCAGTTGTTTCCTTCTCAAATTATATGCTATTTCTGTCATGTCAAAAATCTAACTTTAGCTCTTCTCTTGTTTTCTACCTGTATTTCATAATCCATGGGATACCCTACAAGTACAAATTCAAGCAATCATTCTGTGATAGAGCCACAAATGTCTTTGTCAAAAATGATTGAGTGTATAATAGGAAAAAAACACTGCAGGTATGATCAATCAAATAATGAGTATTTTTCATGTATCAGTAAACTTTAATAATTTAGTAGTCATTTGGATGCTGGTAGGAGAAGAGTTATCCATATATTACAATTAGAATTACTTTAAACATTATATGAGTTCAACTGAAATTATTACTTTCATCTTGAGCAGTCCACTGGGTTAGGATTTGGATCCTATGCCCAACCTTCAGAGCTAATGCTCTTTCCAAAGTTATGGATCCATTTTGCCGACTTCCTTGCCTACATTGTTTCATCGACTAGAGGTTGTTCACCTTGGAGACCTGATGTTGTTATGGGTATGAATGGGCGTGGATGACACTCGGTCCTGTGGGTTTTCAAGGGCCTTTGGAGCCGTACCGGACACCACACGAGGGGCAATGCACTTTTAGCCACTGACCGTAGCTACCTACAATTGCTCCGTTTCAACTTTCAAGGGTGGGAAGCTCTTAAACGGAAACAGATAACTCTAGGTTAGGCCCTGTTGAAATTTTCGGACTCCCCAACGTTGTTGTCAATCGCCACGTCTCAGTTTAGGAGTTTTAACTTGATTCACTTTCGGAGTATGCACGAAAGGTGCTATTTGTCAGGGTTCCCCCGACCCTTAGGATCATCTAACCCATGTACAAATGACGTTCACATGGAGTCTTCCCCCTTTTTGACCTTCAAAGTTCTCATTTGAATATTAATTACTACCACCAAGATCGCACCGTTATATACATACAATCTGTTCTCATTTAGCATAACGGCATGGTTTGAGCAAAGTTATGGGTTTCGGCTAAAATTATTGAGTTTTGTCAAATTCATAACTATGTTGTGGCTCCGCCTGTGCCGGCAGAGTGCATGTGCATATATTAAGCTGAGGGACCAAATGAGTCATAAAGGATACCCTACAGCAACCCCATGACCACTCAATTAAATGATTTCATACCATAAATTTGGCCTTATATGGGTAACTTTCCCCCTCCTAAAGAACAATTAATTATGACACCTTTTCATTTCTCTCCCTACATGTGAATAGTGATTTTTTTTCCACCTGAAGTCTGCAGTGATTGTGCTGAATTCCCTATTATGGTACCTTCTTTTAACTTGTTATAGTAATCTTGTAAAAAGGGAAATATTTTGACTTCACACTAGGATCTAGCAGATGATATTAGTACGGATTTAATTTATATCCACTGACAGTGCTATGAAGTTAGTAGAACACTGTCTTACTGTTCAACTAGTAACCTTATAATGTATAAAAGATATTATTCTATCAACGTATAGAAATTAAACTCGATTGGTATACAACAACCCAATAATGACTTATCATATTGTGATTTAATGATGGGCCATATGCATTATTTTTCAAGAAGTGGCATCTATGGTCTTGTAGCATTACTAGGAGATTCTCTAAAGTCAAGCAGACTAGGACAAACTGATAAGCCCATCAAAGACCTGTGCCTCCAATCATGGCCAATTAAGAAAACAATGGAGCCAAGAGATTTTGTTTCTAAATGGTCCTCTTATGTCAGCACATAAGTGGTCCATGAAAATGCTTCATCTATGGTATTATCGTGGGAGTTTGCTCAGATTGCCGGTCTCAATTCTAGATGAAGGAGGTGTAGTTTGCGGTAAGTTGACAGGTAAGGTAATTATAAAGAAACCTCACAATACAGAATACGTCACGATGTGCTCACTTAGACACGTGTTGACGGGCTTTTAAATGTATGTCATGGATAGTAATAATTTTCATATAAGGTATAATACATAAACAATTACTCAAACTTGGCCTCAACTGGCAAGTAAGCCCTCCAACTTAGAAAGTGCACATCTAGACATTGTGTCTTGTGGACATCTTACTTGGCAACTAAACAGTCCAACTCGTCCCTATTGTGTCTTGTGGACACCCGATGCTGACGTGACACACAAACTTTCGAGGTGTCTTTGTAAGTTTGAGTGTTTAACTTACATAGTGAAGGTGAGTTGAGGTATCTAAATGTGCATACTCAAAGTTAGAGTGTTAACTTGTCAGCTGAAGCCAAGTTTGAGTGCTCGTTTATATAATATGCCTTCATATGATTGACTGCTACTTGCTTGAGATTGAGGCGCCGTAATTATTGTAATTCTAATCACCTTGTGTTACCAATATCAATTGCCATTGGCCATGATTCATTTCTCTATTTCCCTACCCCATGACTAAGCCAACTGGCAACTTTTGATTCTTTACAATATTGAGGAAAAAAATAAAGAAAAGGTAACAGATAAAGCATAGGGACAAAACTAGTCTACTATTTGAGTGTGCTAAGTTTGGTTGGTTCTATTATACCTTCCTCTTCTCTTCTCCCCACTTATAAATAGACTACCAACAAAGAGAATTCATCCCATATTAGTCTTTTAATTCTTTCTTTATTGAAGTACTAGCTTCTCTTCTGTCATAAATAGCCTTCTGTTTTTTGTTTAAGTAACAAAGCTGAAATCTTGATGGACATATCAGGTTCTGGATGCACTAGTGAGTGTGAATCTGGATGGACAATGTACTTTGATGAATTCTCATATTCTTCAGATCAATTCAATGGAGTTAAGGGGAGAAGTATTTATGATGGTAGGGGAAGGTCAGCATATGTAGATGAAGATTTGTCTATGGTTTCTGATGCTTCATCTGGTCCACCACATAACAATTTCCATGAGGATAAAGAATTCTGTTGTGAAGAAAATGGCAACTTCTTATGTACTTCTGAGACTGAAAATACAAAGGAGAAACCGAAAAGGGAAATGAAAGAGCAGAGTGGAAAAAAACAGAATCTTTATCTTGATGACACTGCTAGTTCTCCTGTATCAACTTTCCAAAAGGTAAGTTCAATTTTCTATCTTTGAATTTCTTTTTTTTAGACTCTTTTTACCCTAAATGGTAAAGTTGGTCATGGGTTCGAGCCGTGGAAGCAACCACTAATGCTTGCATTAGGGTAGGTTGTCTACATCACATCCCTTGGGATGCGACTCTTCCCTGGACACTAATAGCGTGGGATGCTTTGTGTTCCATGCTTCCCTTTTGACTTTTTGACCCTTATCAAAAAATTTCTTGTGGTGGTGGGGTGGGGTGGGGGATAGGCATTGACGTTTACCTCGTGTATTCATACCCAAAAGAAAATGACTACATGAAGGAGGTGATGTAGTACCTTGACTCTACAGCATTTTAGCAGTGTGTGATCAAGCTTTTAGAAAAAGCACGCGTCTGATGACTTAATTATATTATGTCTCAACACTCACGTCGTAAATGAATAATGGACAAGTTCGTTCATTTACAATTATCGCTTGTGTTTTCAGGATAACACGGGTTTTTATAATGATACTACTTACATGGAGCAAGTAGCAGGCAACTCGGGAACTTATTCGAAGGTATTTTTTTTTTCTGTTTGTCTTCTTTGCTTTTCTACTGTCATGGCTTGTTCATTGTTTATTCTTATTTCAGGGTAAATCTGTTCTGGGGAAACATTTTGGTTTCTTGAAAACATCTGTGAATGGGAAAGCTTCATCTGAGAAATCTGGTGTGTGAATGTAGTTAAAATCTATGTTGCTCGGACTCTCCAAATAAATTGTTGTATCCGTGTTGGACCCTCCAAAAAAAGCACCACTTTTGGAGGATCAAACACGCACCCAACGACATTTTTTTGAAGAGTTTGAGCAATATATGTTTAAATCTATGTTGCTTATACTCTCCTTATTACTGTCGCGCCTGTGTGTATCCTCCAAAAGATGCATTTTTTGGAGGATCCAACACACATCCAACGACATTTTTGGAAAAACCTATGTTACTTGATTGAATTCTCAAAAAAACTATGTTCATGTGTTAATCCTCCAAGAATGCACTATTTTTGAAGGACCCAACACGCACATGATGACATTTATGAAGAGCCCGAGCAACATAGGTTAATATCTATGTTTCTCCAGTGTCAAATCCTCCAAAAAAGCATCACTTTTGAAAGATCTAACACACACTCGACGATATTTTGAAAAGTCAGAGCAATCTAGGTTTAAAATAAAGATAGTTTCAGTTAAATATTTTATTTAAAATAAATTATTTGGCTTTGTTCATCTTGCAGGTGTTTTGAAGGGAAGAAAGAGGGGATAAAAACTGGACAATTTGTATATTTACTTTGTGTCATTTGCTGCATTTGAAGAGAAAATGATGATTAGATTGTGGGGGTAAATGGAACAAATAAGTTTTTTTTTTTTAAAAAGGAAATTAGATTTTGAGGATCTTGGATTTATCCTCCTTATCTTTTTTCTTCTTTTTTTTAATCCTTCTAGTTATTTGTTCCTGTCTATGTAGTGGGAAACAACCTCAAAGTATAAATTTGAAAACAGAAGAAGAAAATTATGTTTTTTTTTTTTTTGGAACTTGAAGTTGTACTTTTTTTTCATCTTTTGATTTCTGGTGTTCGGTATGCATATTAGAACCTGACTATAGGTTTTCTTCCATTCTCAGTAGTTCGAACTCAAGTGGAATCCTAACCATTCCGCTACCATCCATGAAAATTCTCTTTATATCAGACACTTGGCTTTTTAAAAAAATAAAAATAAAAAATTAGGACTTTTTTTCTACTTTAGTAGTGCTCATAACTCTTTAACCACTATGCTATTTTGTGGTCTCTGGTTGTTCACAAATTAATGAGATAATTAATTAATTTAAGTTTAATTAGAGTTTGTAAAAATAATTCTTCTACCCCACCACCACAAAATGAAAAAAAAAAAATTGGATTGTCTTATGGTTCAAATTATCAAGGAATTCTTGCATAAAACTACACTTTTGCAAGTTGCATTTGAGAAATAGCCATCATGAAGAAATGAAAGAACCTCTAAACTAATAAGCAAGGCAAAAACCACAATATTCTTTTGTGAACACCAACCATAAATATTTATCTCCATCCGATATTTACACTAAACTTTATTAATTTACCATGGTTAAATAAATTGAGGTTTAATAGTAATAAAGTATTTAGAGACACATGTTATGTAGTATTTAATTATAAGTAGGTCTAAACAAAAAGCATGACTAGAGAAACAAATCAAGATCTTCGAGTAAATTTGATTCAGACCTTAGTGCCTAGTAACTCTAAAATTCCGATCATGTAAACTTCAAATTTTGATTCAGTTTCTTATGACTAGTAACGTAATCTTCTATATAATGTAACAAAACAAAAGGCTTAAGTCATCTGCAGCCCCTTAAAGTTATCCGCATAATTCACTTAGACACTTCAACTAGGGCTAGTACCTATTGAACACTTTTATCAATTCAAAATTTGTTCCTATTAGACATTTTTTGATAATAAGCAAAAATAATAATAAAGTGTGTGTAATACACTTGCTGTGATGTGGCAAAATGACTAATTAAAAGATAACATGTGGCATTGGACCCAACAATTATATAAAAAAAAAGAATTTTAATGTTAAAAAGAATGAAATTTATTTCAAATAAATTTTCCATCTATTTTTTTATAAAAACAAAATAAATGAGAAGCCAACCCTACCCCAACTCCCTTCCTTCTTCATCTTCTTCCTCTTCTTCCTAGCAAGATTTTCTTTCTCAAAGACAAAATTCATTTTCTTTGGTGATTGCTTACATAATTATTTTTTATTCCTAATACGTTAAAGAGAGATATATTCAAAGAGACTGATACAAGAGTGATGAAGAAAGAGAGTCTGTCAATCTTCTTGAAATCGATAGCAAAGAGAAATTGAGAGGACCTAAATTAGTTTTATCGAATCAATCTGATATTATTTTTGATAAATTTAGTGGTTTTACATTTTAATTTGAATGAAAATATTTATTCGAAGGTGACCGAAATGACGTCGATCGGCTAACTTTTTTCAGCCCAGGTTCTTTCTTCTTTTTTTCCTTCAAATTCAATTAACTGATTCAATTTTAATTTTTAAATAAATATTGAAAAGAAATAGAATAGAAAAAGAAAAGAATTAAAAAAAAAAAAAAAAAAGGAGTGCAGTGGCCTTATTGGAGAAAACAACTTAAAGGTGTAGGGTGGGGACTTTTTTTTTTTGGTTTTAAGAATCAGTATTACTTTTTAAAATATTTTTTTTAAAAATAAATATTTAAATGCCAAGTAGCAGTCAAAGAAGTAAAAGTATTAAGTTTTTTTGGAAATAAAAATAAAACGTTATTTAAGATTTTTTCACGCGCTTAGCGGAAGTGAAAAATACTTCTTTTGCCACATTAACATTTTGTGTTTAATAGGTATACTTTTTGAACAATTCAAGTGTTCAATAGGTAATAGTTATAGTTAAAGTGTATAACTGAAATATGTGGACAACTTTAAGGTGTTGCAGATGACTTAAAGCCAAAACAAAATGAATGATAAAGATTGATCCATTTTAAGTCTCATTTTCTACCAAAAGGGACCAGAAAGGTACAATCCCACCTTCTATCATGACAGCTACACACTATAAATGTCATTATCTATATAAAAAAGAAAAACTATATAATATATAAAATATTTTGTCCAATTATTGATTTTGTCCAAATTTTTATTGGTCATATGATCCTTAGAATTGCCATCCATGTCTTGGAGAGTGACATAGTTTTAGGAAAAAAACAAAACTTTCCAGCTATTGTTCCTCAGTGCTGACAATTTCCCTAATTTCATACTCCACTTTAATTAATTGTTATTACCAATATTATCATCATAGAATATAATTGGATTATTGCATAATTGGAAGGTTTTATTGGAAGAGATTAATGCAATTATAGTATTATTGCACTTTTTTTCCATAAAGATACAATTGAATTAGTTTACATGCATCTCAATTATTTTATCGAATACTTATTATTTTCTACCAGTACAGATAAGATAGTATAATAGTTAGCTCTGAGTATTGTATTTTTTTTCTTTTTGGTTGCATGCATGTGCCTTTTGTCCCCACTAACATTATGAAATAAAAGGGATATTTAAGTTTGTCTCAAACCTACTCTCATTCAGTGGCGGATCTATGAAGGGCTGTGGGAATGCCACGCCACCCCCGAACTTTGACGGAAATTTTATATATACATAGGTATATATATATAATATTTATATAAACATAAAGCGTGCCACCCACAGAACAAAATTGGCTTGTGGTGCCACGATAGGAGGACAACTTTAGAAGGTTGAAGTTGCGGGTTCGAATCCCATTTGGCACCCACGGACTCTAAATACTGGATCCGCCACTGCTCTCACTCTATTGGTTTGGTTTATTGCGTTCGAAAGAATAAAGAGATGTCGTCTATATATCTAAATATTTTTTTGTAAATATAAGAAAAACTAATGTAATAATAATAATAATAATAATATTGTGTTCAACTAATTCTCCAACTTATTGTGTTTTATACCTGACGCACCAATCAACAAGTAGTTTTATTAGTCTAACTAGAGATTTTGAGAGCATAAACTATAAATAAATAAATAAGAAAAATATAAGAATTAGAAACTAATATTATTATCGTATGATTTAAAGTCATAAATTTAAGTCGTGAAAATATATATATATATTTTTTTTTTATTTTTTTTATTTTTTTTAACCAAAAAAGATACAAGATATATAAGACTGTATGTATAAATATAGAGTAATTACTCTACTATCATAATCCATGATTTTTTTTTAAAGTTGTAATGATCTAATAATATATCGAATGTAATTTTATAAGTGAGATTTGAAAAAGGAAGGTAGAATGTATACAAACCTTACTCATATTGCACAGAGATAAATAAATTATTTTTGATAGACCCTTAGTTTAAAAAAATATCTAAAAAATACAAATATAAAAATAATACAACAACCAAAATAATGTGAAATAAAAAGTACTACACAACAACCGAAGGAGAAAACAATAACGATAACGAAATAATGCAATAAATATGTAATGATCCATAAAGTCAAAAGATTCCAGACATAAAAATTTGTCCATATTATGTTAAGAAATTGAAAAAGTTAGAAACATATATAGAGTTAGGCCTAGCAATTGCTTCCACACAATCTTTTAATTTGTTTTGTGTCCAATTATTGAAATTATCTGTGCCCACACGTGCACGTTTAATTTACACCAACATACGTTCAAATGTTTCAATTTTCAACATATATATCTATCGTTAAATTTGTCAATAAATTTTATCGAAACATTCAAATTATATGATAGGTTTTGATTGAATATCTGATAAATGATAAAGTATTTTATTAAACACTACCAACTTAATTATTTTATCATATGTTTGATGCTCCATTAAACATATTATAATTCAAGTGTTTATATGTTTCGTACAAATAAAAATAAAAATATAGTGTTCATTTGAAGTAGTTACAATTGGATGCATGTTCTACGTACCAAAGCACACCAAGATACTTCATTAGTCAATCAACTTGGAATAAATCCGCAATCTCAAATTAGTTGAATCGACATTGATAAAAGATAGAAAAATCTACTCAATATATCATACGAGAAAGTCACCTAACACAATTTTGTGTTTTTCAAAATTTTACTTGTTAACAATATTCACTTCTATTTGAGAGGAAGCGCTCCTTATCAAGATTTTTTTTATATTAACGGCTTGACCCCGTGACCCATCCACTAATGGTGAGAGAAAATGAAGTTATGCTGGTGTGAGCTAAAGTCATGTATCTTCAGAAATCTGATTAATGCTAAATATTAGGGATTTACCTATAAATATGTTGTCTATTTTTCAACAGATCGTCTAAGAAATCAAAGTTTTGTTCATATCTTAGATCAATAAAATTACTCATCTCCACACATAAAGGAACATAATAAATTCAAAGTTTCACATTCCCTTTTGATTTAAAGACGTTGAAAATAATGAATCGACATCTTTTCTAACCTTTAGCCTTCCAAGTCGAGAATTTATTTAAATTTTGAATCCGCTTCTCAATCAAGAGAAGGGAAGTGAATCAATCATGCTGTCAACTTGCACAAGTACTGTATTAATTTTCAGCCATGTAATCACCTTCTACCATTCTATCAGCCAATTATTGAATGACAACTGATTGTCCAAAATGATAGGAATATCTATTGGCCTAACAAAATATATGAAAATTGAAATCTTCCTACAAGTGTATCAAAATTAGGACATATATGACTATGACACCTCAAAATCTCCAAGATATTTAACAGTGAGAAAATGACATTTTGCATGAAACAAAGTAGTTTCTGTAACTAAAAATAAGGTTTGATCCAAGAAATGAAATTGAAAACAATCTACCTACCTTCACAAGGTGAGGATCAGACTACGTACCCACCACCTTCACAAAATCTCGTCGTTGAAGTAGGCATGTGTAGAAGGAAACAATAAACATTAGTGGAAATGTTTATCTTGTGGTCACAACTAAAAACAAATCTTATACCAACTAAAGCAAGAGAGGAGAAAAGATACAATAAAAGAAAATGACTTTAACATTGCAGATCAAAATGTTTGTTTCAAGGGGCAAAACTGATTGATACAGAAACTTGGAAAAAGCAATTGATACATGAAAACATTAGTCGATATCTGAACAGGCTAACGGACACTTTGTAAAGCTCACAAGTTATATTTACAGGTCCACGCAATTTCCATAGAACTCCTGCAGATGAAGTGAAGCTATACTGAAACTTGAGAATTGATTTCAAACGTTTCCGCACCCAAACTCCAACTAACAACAAAGAAGAATCTATTGAGTGAAAGGGGTTGAATACTCCCAACGAAACATTCCCTAGTAAGTTGTAACAAAAACTGTGACAAGAGTTATGTCCCAAAAATACGTCTGTGAACTGGTGGAGCATCAAGAGTTTTAACCACTTGAATCCAAGGTTTGTCTATGATCAAGGTGGAAGTTCTTGAAAGGTGTCCAACAAATAAAACAGGATCCCTGAAAGCACAGAATTCAAAATTCTTTCTACCGATTTGTTTTAAATCTAAGTCATTCCCTTTCAACTTGCGCTTTAAGGTCCCATTTGCAGGAGAACTATTATGTAGCTTCTTCAAAGCTAAATCTTGACTATTAGCTAAGTCAGTTTCGTCATCATCACCTACTGGCAACCCAAAGTCAATCAAGCACATTGCCCTACATAATAAAGCCATAAAATGTTAATCATGTGACAATTATGGAACTAAAGCACTGAAATAATGCAACTACGTTTTTTGAAGTTAAACAGATAGTTTTTTTGATAAGGAAGTTAAACAGATAGTTAACTCGAGAAAGATCCAACAAATTGAGAAGGAATATGCAGGAAACAGGACTAGTTCATGGTCAACGAATTTCCATAGGATGTTCCTTCATACTTAGTGGGACATTCAATTGAGCGCTTCTAAGAATGACTTTGGACCAGCATTAGGTTGGATAAGGAATTCAATTTCTTTTCTTTTTTATGACGTGGTGTCAGGTCCAGTTTGTGTTGACCTCAGCTATTCCATTGGGTACCTGTTACCTTCCACCAACACGGGTACCCAATAACTATGCCTACTAAGGTTTAGGCAGATGAGAAGACATCACCTAGTGTTTTTTACTCTTCATTGGATTTGAAGATGAGACCGCGTGGTCCTCCCACTTCATTCCACTAGGCACACCCTTGGGTGCAGTCATGCAGATAAGGAATTAGGTTTCTTAACACAGCCAAAAAAAGAAAAGAGAGAACTTTCAGCAAGTAAATTTACTTTAAACAATCTCATCAGCTATAATGATTGAACCACAGCAATCCGCAGCATATCACATGTGCTGATGACTACTACTTCTGATGTGTGTTGATGTGCCTAGGTGCAAATAAAAGTAAAATCTTTGTATCCAAACATTTAAAATGATAAGCCTAGATAAGTCCATTTCTTTATTACTTAGCTCCAATAAAGAGGCCAACCCGTGTTCTATGTTATTTACCATTCTCTAAAAGAAGTGTCATTTCCTAATGGACCCTATCTAGTAAAGGCCAGTATAAACTAATGCACACTAAAACGAACCTACAGTAAGATGCCACCAAAATAATTCAACCAGATAAGACAGCAGAAAACCAAGAGTAACAAAAACTCAAAAACAGCTTTGGCAAAAACTGCAAAAGACACACCTTGAACTGTAGACAATGACAGATGATGAATTAGTAGAAGGAGCAAAAGAAAGCCCAATCACTTCTCCAGGAAATTCTTGAAATCTTCCCGGCAGAGAGAATGTATTCCTGTTGGACCATTCTCCTAGTTGCTTAGCTTCAACATCAAAGGCATATACCTGGTTCGAAGATGTGGATACTATAAGCACATTGCTATTTCTAGGAGTAAAGCCACCAGCTGTAACGGAAGAACCATTCAATCTTGATATAAACCAATGTTGCCTGTTACACAATAAAATTCAGTCAGTGCCCCAAATAGGAAATACAAGATGAAGGTCCCACAAAGATATTGAACTGACTTGACAGTTCAAGTTATCAGGTGGGAAATGGGAGTTCCACTCAAGAGATAAGCATGCAACGCTGGAAATGATGTATTACATGTTTTCAATGCACAAGAACATGATCGAAGAATTTTGACCATATAAAAAAATCTCTATTGGTCATAGTGAACCTAGAAACTTATGGAACAAACCATAAGATAGCCACAATGGAGAAATTTAAGATAGATCAGAGACTAGAGACATGTCTCTGATAGAAAGCCCGTACCTCTGTTTATCTAGATTAAATATATACACATCTCCAAAGCAGTTTACAGCACCTAACCATTTCCCATCTGCACTAGTGAACATTCTCGTAATGGGAGGTTCATTTGGTGGAAATTCTTCGCATTGCTCTTTACGCCGAGGGGTAAAAACATGAACTAGTTCCAAGCTTACTGCATCAACCACCTAGAAGAGAAGACGAGTGTCAGAGACTATATGCATTGATGAAGTCACTAAGATGTCCTAATGCTATTAAACAAGTTTCTGAAGTCACTATTTGCTGTTATACTTGCAACAGAATTTCGATTATTTAAAGCCACAAAAAGAGAAATTAAAAAAAAAGGCTTTCAATTATTTTTCATCCAAGTAGGGATATAATATAATATAATCATAAATAAACAGCAGTACCAACATGAAAAGTCATAAATATCTAATTATTTCCTTTAATTCATTTTTTAAGAAATAGAATTGTTAGTAAATACTATTTACGGATTTCGGTGACAAATAAAACTTAAAACCCTATTAACTAAAAGTGCATCTGTATATAAAATAATTTCACTGACGAGATTTAAAAAAAAAAAAAACTCCTTTAGACTATACTCAACAGTTTTCTAATTTATATGATCTGTTATAATTTACATATGTTAAAGTTACACAAGATTGATTGATGTGTAATTAATGATCTAATTATTTCCTTGTTTTTCCCTAGATTTGTTGATTCACAATCATTCAAGCCACAAATAGTACAACTTCTTGTTGCAGAAGGCAAAGAAAGGTTAAGAGGCTTTTGGTTATAATCTCCAGAGGTCTATTAGAATACATATCTTTGTTTCTACATATTTATTGATATATACATACACATCATGCGACACTTCTTATCTGAAAAGTTTTACGTTATTTTTAAAAAAATTGTATTTAATAAGATAACGTACACACGACAATTTGTTCCTTTTATATACATTTATTATTAATCAACGTGATACACACGTGCAAAGCATGTACACTTAAATAGTATTGATTATAAAAAGATGAACAAAAAACAATATTTCCATACACGTAGATGGAGACTAGGTGACATAAAATATGTGAAAGGGAGAAGCTCTGACCACTGTAGTTCTTTAAGTTGGTGTAGTTCTATAAAATGATGACTCTTGATTAAAAGGTTTCAACGTTACTACAAACCTTACCGCCTATAAACTCCCTAAGATATTCAGAAAAGTTGTCATTTACTCACAGCTCAGAAGTGATTGTAACATAAAACATACATCATGAACTATCACCCTGCCTTTAAAAGATGAAACACATTTATCACTTAAAACTAAAGAAAATAAATTGGACAACAGAATTACTTACATAGATCCTTCTGTCACACCCAGCTATCATCATTCGAGAAGAATCTGCACTGAAAACCATTGAATGGGCAAATGGAAGTCCCAAAGGGAGCTTCCTTTTGCTGACAGTCCATGCACTCTTGCCAGCACCACTCTTCTTAAGTTCAAAAAGGCAGGGTCTTACATGGTCAGAATAAGCAAACAGTACACCTGAAGGAGAAATTGCACTGCATGTGATCTTCCTCGAAGTTTTGCACTTAACACGAGCCACTAGATCTGTTCTTGCAGCCCCACCAGATGGGCCACAGATGTCAGACACAACCCCGTTTTTCACACAAACACAAAAAATATCTATCCAGTACGAAGCCTGGACCAAGAGTAAAGAAACCTGACTGAAGGTTGTATTTACTGCAATTTGTATGGGTGGTCTCTGAGGTGAGGGACAAATATCATGCGGAGAAAATTTGGTGAATTCCTTTGCAGAGTATGCAAAAAGTTTAGTGTCATCACCACCTGAGATAAGCATCGGCACACCAAAATGTGCCCATTTATGATAACTAAACTCAAGGGGCTTCTCCTTAAAGCGCCGCTTCTTTGTCTTCTGTTCGACTATGGGCTCTGATAAAGAGAGTTAAACAATAAGTAAAACAAACCCAAAATAAAGGGATATCAGTCCAAAATTTAAACAGAACAAAGATTTCAACATCATTTTCGGTGAGCGACAGCCACAACTAAATAACGGACCTTCATGAGCAATGGGTACAGCAACTGCCAAGGCTCTTACATCATGTGTATGGGCCCTCACATGACTAACATAAACCCATTTCTTCACGACTACAGAAGAAATGTCTCCATCGTGAGACCCCACTTCATTGGCTAAGAGCTTATAAAGTATAACCTAAAAGCAGTAGCAAAACATTAGCAGCTATAAAAGCAAGCTTAAATTGAGTTCTCTAAACAATTATGGATGAGAAATTTCATATAAAATCAAAGAAGATAACAGATACAAGTTAACTTGTTCACTCAAAATACTTATGCAATTATATACCATCACAGGGAATCATCATACCAAATAATGAGAAGAAATTTTTTCTCGAAAAGCTGTGGACATTTGAGAATAGCAAATTGATGGACACAGATTTGAAAAAACAGTTCAAACCAAAGATGTGGGGAAAATGATTGTTGAAAATTTCCAGTGAACAGATGAAACTCAACTGCCCATCTTCCCCAAAAATCAATTTTGCAGAGAACACTTTCGAGCAAAGTGCATTTATAATAGCACAACGCCGATACACACAATCCCTGCTTTTGTTTTTTCTCCAAATTTTAAAAAAAAATTAAGAAGAAGAAAAGAAAAACAATCATATAAAGTTTGGAAAAGGGGTGTTTATAATTGAGTTTAATTTTATATTGGTTATTTAGTTTAGTGGGTTGGGTCGGGTTAAAATAGTGGAGTGAGTTATTCAAGGGAAATCGGGTATTTTTGTTTGGTTGGGGGAATTCCATCCAAAATAGGGGTATCTGAACTTGCATACTTTGGTAACGGTAGGGGCATACTTGACCCTATAGTATAACTAGGGATAAACTTAGCTAATAGAAGAAAGTAGAAGGGTAATTTTGGATCCTTTTCCCTATTCTATATCTTCTACTTATACAGTTATACTAACACACTTGATCCCTAAAGTGTTTTTCCATAGCTCAAACTTCTAGCTGACACCCTTGCTAGTTTCAACTATTAACTTAGCATTATCTACAGAATGCATAAACATGGAACTTCATTTGGCATATTATCAGTTAGCTCATCAATGTCTTGGTAAACAAGTACAGGCTCAATGAGATCCTAGTGGATTGAGCACAAATGACATGAACCCCAATAGAGAATTTTCTTCGGATAGGGAGTGTTGTTTATGTACCTGACCATCAGAACCAGCAGAAAATACTCTACTATGGCTGGGAGATGCTGCTAAAGCATTCACGTCGCCCTTATGATTGGAATGTGACTGTAAAAGAGTTCCATGCTGGGAGTCCCAGAATTGAACACTCCCACTACTATCTGCACTAACCAGGGTACCACATCTGCAAACAGCAGGATGGAGTTGGAAGCATTATGAAAATGGAAAATCTTAGAAAACACAAAAAGATTTTGGGGGGGGGGGGGGGGGGAAGGGACTGGGTTATTCCAAAAACATCTAAGGGAAGGGGTTGCCAATTCGATCTTCACCTCAATGCAAGTAATGACCATATGCATAGATCAGATCCACTACCCAAACCTCCAAGACCCACTGTTATCCTGTAGATTTCATATGCAAGCTTGGCATCCCAGCATCTTATAAACCTGCAAAGAAACAACCTCCACTCAGAATTTTCACAGTGAACACACCATGAAGAATAAACAGCCATTCTTCCGCCAACGTTATGCCTCAATTCAGTTTTCATCAGAAATCAATAAGTAAATGTACACCACATAGCTAAGTTCAAAATAGAGCATACCCGTCACTACTACCAGAATATATCCTCTTTGCATCAGAACTCCAAGTGACACTCAACGTACGCCCTGTAATTATCCAAATATTAGCTATGAAATTCTCAAAGCAACAATCAGATATTTGCGCTATGACCCAAGGGGAGCTGTCTCACCATTGACCTTAGGAAACAATCTTTCGTAAGACAAATTCTTCTCATCCGAAACAGTGCAGATACGAACACGACCATCATCACAAGCAAATGCAATTCGACCATTTTCATTAACATCATCCACGTGAATAACAACAGAGTCATCATCCTCTTCCCCTTCACTGCTCTCACTATCGCTACTAGCACCACTTGTAAAACTAACATGGCCATTCTCATACTTCTTTGGAGGATTCTGATGAAGCTGTGCATTATTGCATGGCTCCACAGCCATCTGCCATATTGAAACACCAATAGAATCGAGTACAGCCTGCCAGAAACCATAGAAACAACAACATTACTCAACTTATCAAAACCAAATATAGGACTACAGGTAAGGAAATGGATGGATCTTGAAGTACATTGACCTAGGAAAGACCCAAATCCCCGATCACACAGCCGTAAGACTTATTTTATGCCAAATTCATGCTAGACACAAGAACAGCAAAGTATCTTACACAACTACAGCTAAAACAATAGCTAATAACATTATGCAGCTGGTAAGCATTTGCCAAAAGTACTTGCCATTTCTGACTATGTTCCACTCATTAAGGGAAAACAATATTAGAGGGTTTCATCTCTTTGGATCTCTTAACACCATAAAAATGGAAGCTAAAGGTAGCTTTTTCACAAACAGTTTGAAGGAAATCCACTAATTTGTGCACTCAAAAAAAATACTCCCTCTGTCCCACTTTATGATTTACTTTCTTTGTTAGAAAGTCCCAAAAAGAATGATACATTTCTATATTTAGTAACAATTTAACTTTAAAATGCCCATTTTACACTTAATGAAATGATTTCTAGCTACACAAATATCTAGGATTTATTTTAAACCACAAGTTTCAAAAGTTTTCCTTTCTTTCTTAAACACCGTGCCAAGTCAAACTAACTCATATAAATTGGAATGGAGGGAGTAGAATATTGGCAGAGGAAAAGAAATAGATAAGATCATATAATTTTGTATAATGAGAATCACCGTGACAAAATGTCAAATTCCTTTTATGTGGTGGGTCAACTTGCCTTATTTTCTATGTTAATAAAAGAAGCAGTCAAACAGTTCATCTTGTTGATTGCATTTCCACCCATTCATACATCAACCAACCATGCCTCAATTACAAACTTCTGTTACATGAATCCTCCATACCATTAAACCCAGTTCAGGTCCATTTCACACCACTGCTAAACTAAGTATACCTTTAAAGGACGAGAAATCACTGATCATATCATACACCAGCCACCCAGTTCAGGTCCATTTCACACCACTGATAAACTAAATATACCTTTTTCACAAATGAGTATAGTTTTCCGTAGGTAGTTCATTCTATTTGTCAATCAATATATTCATGCACTTATTACATCAATTCACTAGCTAGAGTAGGCTCTAATTTCTAACAACCACAAAGTAAGAAGTAAATGGCGTACAGTAACGACAACAGATGTTGCTAAAGTTTGTGGACGTACCTTCTGAGTCAAATCAAAAAGATCCCACTCGTAAACTGATCCATCAATGCTGGATGAAAATAACCGGCCTGCAGGTAATTTTCTCGATCCCGACTGACACCAAACTAACGAGGAAACCCTTGAATTAGGATTTCCATGTATTATCTGCACACACATTAAAAGAAAAACTCAATCTTGTTAACAGCGACCCTAATATCTCAATCCCAAACTTGTTGAGATCGCTTATATGAAATATCACCATCTATTTTGCTCCTTTTAAACCCATTTGATTCCAAATACACCCAGTACGTGCACACATTCTAAGCTATTCTAAATATTAAAAAAACTCAATCTTGTCAACAACTACCCTAATTCCAATTTTAATAACTAAAAAGGACCCTAATATCTCAATCGCAAGCTAGTTGAGATCAATTATATAAATAATAACTATCTATTTTGCTCCATTTAAACACATTTGATTCCAAATACAGCCAGTACGTGCACACATTCTAACCTATTTTTAATTTATTTTAAAAAAAACTCAATCTTGTTAACTACCCTAATTCCAATTTTGATAACAGAAAACAACCCTACTATCTCAATCCCAAGCTAGTCAGATCGACTACATAAATCATCACCATCCATTTTGCTCCATTTAAACCAATTTGATTCCAAATACACCCGAGCACATTCTAAGCTATTCACAATTTAAAAAAAAAAAACTCAATCTTGCTAAAAACAACCCTAATTTCCTAATTCCAAGCTAATTGAGATTGCTTAGATAAATAATCACTATCTTTTTGCTCAATTTAAACCCATTTAATTCCAAATAACACCCAATACGAACACAAGCACATTCTAAATAAAAAAAAAATGTATTCGTACAAGTTGACAGTGCCATCCGTTGGAGCCAGGTGAAACAAGCCAAATCTCAAGAGAACCATCCTCTCGAGCGACGGCGACCTGAGAATCATCGGCGCTAGTAGCTAAAGCTACCACAGGCGACGGCTTCCACTCAACTGAACTGCTTCTATAAACTTCAAGCATTCTCCAAAAGCTCAAAAAGTAATCTTTACAAGTTTTTCAGAGAAGATAGATGCATAAAGCATCACAATGCCCAAATGCAGCAATGGAGGCGAGGCCAAAAGAGGGGCTAGGTTTTTCGAAGAACAAGGGTTTAATAAAGCTTCCATGAATATTTTTAATTTACTAAATTTGGGCTTTTTCGGGTCTACCCGGTGTAAACGGGTTAGTTAAGGAGACTAAGGCCTCATTTGTTTTCATTAAGATTAAAACCTTTGAATTTGAACGCACGTCTAAATATTGAGATTTGCATTAAGAGCTAGGTGTCTAGATCTGAATACACATTTGAATATTAAGATGTGGTCTCCAAATCTGAACATTGAATCATTATTGTTTGTTTTCAATATCTGAATGTGCATATGAAATCAAACATTATATTAATAAAATGTTATAAAAATTCATGTCAACAAAAAATATTACTTTTTGATTAAAAAAATATATCATAATCATCAAGTATAACATAAAAAAATCACGAATAAAAAATATTTTATAGGCACAATATTATATCAAAAAGTTCAATAAGTATGATAGATATTAGTCGAAAAATAATAAATAAGCTATCACATTATCAACGCCTAACATATATTTTGGCTAATTAGAAAAACTAAAGAATTCTTATCTTTTTTTCCAATAACCTTAATCAAATTCTCTAACTTGTGAACCTCTAACATTATTCATGCTTTTTTGAAGTGGACACTTTCACAAAATATATTAACACATGTACCGTATATGGCTCTTCCCATCCAAGTCCATCTAATTTTTCCATATATTCTTCAAATGTAGGTGCACTATATTTTTAATCAGTAACTTCAGAGCAGTAATCATCTTCTCATCAATTTCCAATTCAGACGAATACGTTTTTTTCTTCCCCAAAACTTTTTTTTCCTAGTTGAAACTAAAGATAAGGATGTAGAATTATTAGGAGCTCCATTATTTTTGTCACCAACTAGTTCAACAACAACAATATATCAATGAGTCTCAATAGAATTATTGGCCTAGGACAAAATTCTAATAAGAAACCTCAAATATGTATACATAGTTACTATTTTTAATTATGAATAGTATTTCTTAACTCAAAAACCTTGATATCAATACACTAAAAATATTATTGCAACAAGTGTTGTTCTTGACAAACATCAATACACCCTAAGAAAATTATTAATATATAAAAAATACTTGTAAAGATTATGAAAACTTATCAGTTCAAGAGGAAAAAACTGGTGTTTGATTGAGAAAAGAGAGGACGAAAGTTTATAGTTAGAGCAAAAGTCACGCAAAGACCAAGAGAGGCGATACAATATTATTTTATAACTTATTAAATAAGTCTGAATGGTGTTAAGACTTTCCTGCAGATCTGATCCATTCATACCTTTTCAGGTTCATTAAGAGGCTTTTTGAAAAAAGAAACAAATGGACTAAATGGGTTGAATCTGAATCATTCAGATTCAGACCTAAAAATCAAACACACTTAATGGTCTGAATCTGAATGATTAAGATTTAGACATCTATTAAGTGCAAACAAATGAGGCCTAATTTTCTACTCTTGAAGATAGACCACATGATACTCCATCCGTTCATTTTTATTTGTTAATATTATTTTGTTATTTTTAATATGTTAAGAAAAAATAATTATATTTTGGATAAATTATCTCATTATGCAAATATTTCTATTATATGTATTAATTTTCCTTATAGTTTAACATAATTACATGTTGTGTCATTAATTAATAATTTCATACCGAATTTCAAGTCATATACATCTGGATGTATATATTTTTGCTACTACTAGACACGTTCTAAAATATAGATACATAGGGAGAGAGGCAAGCGAGAAAGGAACGAGGAGAGAGAGATTGTGTTTTTTCTAGATACATGTGAATCACAGTAGTGACATGTATTTGAGGTACAATATATATTCCACATGCATTTTGAAATACAGTTACATAGGGTGAGAGGTGAGTGACAGAGGAGAAAAGTGAACGAGAGAGTCAAATACATGTGAATTTACTTGTATTTAGTGTATATAGAGCAAATTATACCTAATTTTGACTCTATTTATCCGAGATACATGTATTTGGGGACCAAAACCTAGCACAAGTGGTAATTTCAAAAACTCATGGGAAGGCACATAAGTAGGCCCTAAACTCATGAGATTTGTGTTGTTTACCCTTCTTCTTTTTTCATTTTTTACCCTTAGCATTAATTACTTTTTCTTCAAATCATTTTCGAAGACCTAATACTTTACACCAATTAGTATGGGTATAATAATACAATATTCATATCGATAATTATTTTTTAAAGAGCGTGCAAAGTCCAAAATAAACACAAATAAAAGTGAAGAGAAAAAATATTTAATTGCTCGCTAAAAATAATTACAACCACTTGCTATACACATATATATAAATTAGTTCCTTTTTATAAACTATGATAAAATACAAGGGTCCTTTGGTTCACACACTATGACACTTAATACTACAAAGAAATAATCGATTTCAAGGACATTATTTAAAATATAATCAAGTTTTAGAACTATTTAATTATTAGCCTCCTCAAAATCAAGCCTTATACTTTTAGATCTAGAATTTGAGTAGAGATTAACTTCAAATTTATGGTTTAAAGTTCAAATTTCATCATTTGATTGTACGAGGGACCGTTAATGAAAGTATTTTATATGTATAGCTATTTATACTATTGCATAAATATCGTGAAAATGTGTAAAAGTATTTGAAAACTATTTTAATTTTATAGAGTTTTTTTTTTGTAAATATCACAATATATTCATTCTTTTTTGTTTGGGGTCATACACCTAAAAGAATTTACTCACACATCACGGAGTTTTTTTTTTATGACTGTAGTGTCTAAATCAACTTTCACGCATCTTAATTAATTTATGGGATACATATCACCTTCAACCAATAACATGTATATATCGAATTACTCTATCCACCAATTACAATTAGACTAAGACATATAGAAAGAACCAACTAGTATTTTTGTCTCCATCTTCATTGATCACTACGACACACTCTAGGGTGACATGAACTCCTTTTTTTTTTCTTAATTACTTTCATGTTAATGATAATTTAATGTAATTATAGATATATTTTAAATATTGATCATTGATCACTACGCTATACTCTGCCATAACATGGAATTCATGAATTCCTTTTCTATTTCTTTACTTTTCCGTTTAAAATAATTTAATAATGTAATTAGAGATATGTTTTAAATAATGATGCTACAATCGATTATTGTTTGTGAATATCACTCAAATGTACCTATGTTCTTATATTTTAATACTATTCTTAAATTTCAGAAAATAACAAACATAATAAACATATAACTATCTATGGCTATAGTTTTGATTTGCGTTCCATAGCTATAGTCCCGTTTAGTATGGAGGCTGCAGTTTGTATATTCTGCTTGCGAATATACAAATAATGTAAGTATATACAAATTCTGTATTTATACATTTAAGAATTTTTCGTTTGTATATTTTATTTGCCTATATACAAATAGGATAATTTATTATAATTTTTCATAAATCGCATACAAATAGCTAGGATAAGCATATACCGAATTCTGGATTATACAATCAGTACCTAATTATACAAATTCTAGATTTATACAAATCAAGCGAATAACAAGAATTGAGGAAACTGTAACCGCGAATTACAATTTTCTTAAACTGTAGTTATAGTACCTAATATAGCTAAATATTTGCTATTATGCATAATTTTCCCTTCTTTTTTTAACCACATTAATCTCTTTCCACATTTATTGACCAATGATAAAAGTGAAAAGTGAAAACTAATTACATCTTGATTTTCTAAAGTGACAACTATTTTTAATATAAACACAAACATCAAAAACTTTTTAATAAATTGACAACTAAAACAGAACAAAACGGAGCAATACTTTCATGGTAATTCAAAGTGCATATTGAACTAAATAAAAAAGATTACAAAGGTTGTTGAGATATCCATCTTTTAAACATGTGAAAACTCTCTTCAGGTCTGTCCTCTGGAGCTGTGTGCCCTCCTCCCTAATGAAAGAAATAAGAACAAAAACATTTGAGAAATGTGAGCATAAAACAATAATTTAATATTGAGATTGAAAACATTTAATTTTTAAAAAAAAATACAAAATTTTTACCTTTACCGTTGCATATGTCATATGATTAGAGTAAGACCTTGTGTAACTGTGAATTAAAGATATATAATTTAGATTTTCATAACAATCATATAATTTGACGAAAATTCAAGGACGTGAAATTAATTCGAAGAACCACACCCTCCAACTTGTTCATTAACCATCCATGGACGCCAATCATCAATAATAGGATAATTTAAATACTTTATCCATGCTTGTGTCGATTGAAAAGGAACAACCATGTCATGATCGCCACTGCTCAAACAAAATACTTTGTTATGTTATAGTAACGTCAACCAAATCTTGAGTGCTTAAAGCACAACTTAGAGAACCATAACACGAAAGTATCAAACCTGTATATAAGTGATCGATAACCTTTTGTACTAAGGTTTGTATGGTAAGGTATACTATTCATGAAAGTAATTGCGTAACTTTTATCCCCAATACTTTGCCTACATCTCGCCCATGTTCTTTTTATAGTTCCCTAGTCAAAGTAAAACGAAAAAATTCTTTCAATATTTTGCATCATAGCTCTAAGCAATATTTACGATACATGTATAATAAATAAAATCAATTGAAATACCTTCCTAACATGGAGAGCCTCTTGAACTTTTGGGTCATTTGCCCAATTAACTGAGAGATTGTGTGTGTCAACCTACAATAAAAAAAGCATATGTACGTTAATTAGAGTCGTCTCAAAATTTAAAGCTATCGAGTATTCATACTTTGAAGTAACAACTGAAGGACTTACACGACTTATTCTTCGATAGATAAAGTCATCACGGTTTAAAAAGATGAAATTCTCTTCAAGAAATCTTCTTTCACTTGACGATTGGCGTAATTTTGGTTCTTCAGAGTATGTTCCACAGTAAGGCTCTAGTACTTGTTCATCGCATAGATCACTCACAAGCTACAAAGTTACATCACAAGAGTGTAAGGGCGTATTATATATCTAAGTTAAAAACCAATATAAAAGGTACGCAAATCTTACCTCCTTGAATATTTTTAAGTTTTCTGAACATGGTTTATGGGTAGATTTTATATTTCGATATTCTCCTTTGCAAGTCTGTTTCAACGACTAATACAACAAGATCAAAATTAATCACATTTGTACAATACAAAGTTTATATATATATATATGAAGTGAGATTAAACCAACCTCATAAAGTTCGTCGGATATTAGCCCCATACCATGACAAAAAGGAATTTGGTAATTGTCTTCCTCAGGAAATGTTTTTGGATTTCCAAGTGAATAGCCCTTAAAAGGATATTACCATCTAATTAAAACAATATTTTCTTTCATGATATATGTTGAAATTGAACGAAAAGAAAGGAATATAAAACCTTAAGGTTGATTAATGGCTCTTTGCCTGCTTCAATTCCTGCATTTTCATAACATAAAACGGTTTTGGCTAGAAATGTCACAAAAAGAATGTGTATATATCTTAAAGCATAAACTTGGATCCGAGCCTTGGGAATGGAGAACCTTCCAACAAGGAGGCTTTAACCCTCTTGGTGGATCTATCGACACGAATTCAGATTAGTCAGACCAGTTAAAGACTTCAAGTTTTAGAAAATTGGAAGAAACAATACTAACAAAGCATGAGTAATGGGGTGATGAGGATGATCATAACTTCACATTACCGTCAAACATTTCTATAACAATATTGTTTGTCCAGATAATTTTTGGTTGCTATAGCGAGATCTTGTCATAGATAAGGTATAGTATATATAGTAGCATAACATAACATGAATATTAGTTTCGGAAAAAAAAACTTTGTTGTTATAGAAATATGTGACTTGATATGATAACATTAACTGGTCCTTACCATTTGATATTAGTTGAACCATAACTGGAACTGTAATGCCTGCATAAGAGTCCCCAGAAACATAGAAAGGGTTCGAGATGAATTCTGGATGATTAATGAACCACTGTAATATAAATCAACGAGTTATTCAAAATACATTTTTGTTATATTTGTTCAATTCAAATAATTTGATCGATGTGAATTTAAATATTGACTATTTTCATTTTTGTCTCAAGATGGATTCAAAGTTTGACAATTTTACTTATAAGTCTTGACCCTTATAAGGCGGGTGGGGTACTTATACATCTTCCTTTTGACCTTTTGACTTCGAACTCAATTCGAGATGAGCTAAGAATATTTATCAAATACCTTTCGTAGAAATTCATAGACTTGACCGCATGCTTGTAGATCAGTATAGTTGTGCCCCGTTGAAGTTGTTGCATATGAGAACCCAGTATTTAAAGGCTCGTCCAAGAAAATTATACTCGTGAACTACAAATTAGTTCAAGGAATAGATTAATTTGATGCTATAAATTTAACAAACATAAAGAAAAAAAGAAGCTATTTTATATCACCTTTGTCCATGAATATGGTCTTGAAACAAGAAATGGTAGGCTTCCATTGTATGTCTTTTGTCCAAAAGCCAATGGACCTAAATAAAGAAGCAAATTCAAAAGTTAAATTTCTCCAAATATGAGTCACACATAATACCAAAGCTTTCCGCGTATACATTTAAAAATAAACTGATTTTAAAAGCTGGCAAAACAATAGGGGTCTAGAGGTGTACATCACCGGGTTGGTTCGGGTTTTTCAAATATCAAACCAAACTATTTGTGTAAAAATTTTAAATTTATAAACCAAACCAAACTAATAAAATTTGGATTTTTTGAGTTTTTTAACCTCGGGTTGGTTCGGATTTTTCAAATACCAAACCAAACAATTGTGTCGAATTTTTAATTTTATAAATCAAACCAAACTAATAAACCTCGAATTTTTTCAAATTTTTGGATTTTTTCTGTAAAGTTTGCATACAAACATATAATTAACTTGTGCTCCAAATATTTCTTTAGTCCAACCAAAATACAATTATCTAAGGTGTTTCTTAAGAAAATGACACAAAATATGAGATGAGTACTGATGACACTAAAATATTCAATAAAAAATAATAATAAAATCATCATATAAAATAAATATTGCAAAGTCATAATGAAAATGATCATAACTTAAAAGTACTAAATCATGCTCAAATAAATTTAATAAGTATTAGTTACATTACTAAATATTTAAGGAAAATTAAAATTAGATTATGTATTTTAATTGTCTAAACCAATGTAAAACTAAAGAACAAATATTCAATATTATTGGCATTCTTAGTGTTGAATTGATTTTCTTTTTGCATTAGTATTAATTTGATTTTGATTTAAGTTTTATTATAATTATCAACATCTATGAACTATAATCTTTATTGGACCATTCCGAATTCTATGTTTTAAACTTGAAATAATATATTAAAAGATAAAAACTATGAAATAGTATAAGAAATATTTATTAAAGTAAATATTTTTTATGTATAAAATAAAATTTTAAAATTACATATATCATTTCGGGTTGGTTTGGTCTCGGGTTGATTTTTTTTAGTTAAAACCAACCCAACCCAAATATAGTCGGATTTTTTTTTCCAATACCAAACCAAGTCAAACCAAACCACTAGTCGGGTTTTTTTCCGATTTAACTCAATTTGCGGTTTAATTCGATTTTCGATTCGATTTTGTACACCCCTAAATAGGACTATAGGTGAACTATGTGATAAAAATAACAATACAAGTTGATTCATTAGCTCTAAACATGTACAACAATGATAACAAAATTTGAATACAAATAACCTCTCTAGACTATGAATGAAAGCATGTTACATATATTTAACGTGAGTTATAAACTAACATACTCTCGATTCATCGAGACATTATAAACGTCTTTACATTGCCGGTCTATATAACTTAAATTCATTTAATATTTACGTACCTACTTCGTACACCAATCCTGTGAAGGATGAGCAACCGGGTCCTCCTGATATCCATAGCAAGATCGGATCTTTCTTCGGGTCGGATTCTGATTTAACAAAGTAATAGAATAGTTGCACTTCCTCAGATTTGGCAACTCCAATGTATCTGAAATTTTCAAAATACATCACTTCAATAACAGTAAATTTGACTAGTCTTATCATCACACTAAGCGTAAACAAATTCACTAGTAAATATATGAACTACGTTCATATAAACTGGTCAAACTAGTTTAAAATTATTTTTCGACTTATTACACGTTTGATAAACATATTGCTTATAAATCAAAATCAGTCAAAAGTTATATCTCTTTAGCTTAGAAGCTCTTTGATATATTGATGATACATAAAATAGAAATAATTATAGAGAAATTAAAGAGAAGAAAATTACCCAGTCTCAAGATAAAAAGGAAGAGGTCCATCAAAACCAGGAAGATATTCAACAATTGAGCTATTTTGAGGATCACTTTGTACATGTACAAACAAAGTAACAACAAAAAGAAGATGAAACATTGTTGATGAAATAATAATAGATAATGTCCTGATATATGTGTATATCCCATATATATATATATTACCAGTGGTGGATCCAGGATTTAGAGTCCGTGGGTGTCAAATGGGATTCGAACCCGCAACATCAAACTTCTAAAGTTGTCCTCCTACCGTGGCACCACAAGCCAATTTTGTTCTGTGGGTGGCACGCTTTATGTTTATATAATATTATATATATATACCTATGTATATATAGAGTTTCCGTCGAAGTTCGGGGGTGGCGTGGCACCCCCACAGCCCTTCATAGATCCGCCACTGTATATTACTATACTTGGTGGAAGAGTCTACAAGTAGGCATGTCTTTGTCTAGGGTATTTTCGTAACTTCCTACTTTTTCTTTCCTTAAGCCTTTGTATCCTCTTGCTTTAAGATTGTACCTTTTCTTTATTGGACCCAAAAACCAATCAATATTTATCTAATGGCTTATATGTCCTATCAAAAGATTCTTCTTCTCTTGAATTGTGTGGGCCCAACCATTGGCTCACTTTACAATGTCGGCAATTTATTCATTTTTTCATTTAAACATTTGTATATATAGTATTTTCATTACTATTTAGTATTTTCTTTGTATTAAATTTATTTCTCTTATTCTTTTTGTTGGTTATAGATTTAAGAATAATATAAATAATACTATAAATTACAATAATTAGCAACATAAATATTTAAAAGTTATACAAAAAAAATTCGATTGACTCTTGACATTTTATTGGTACCACATAAAATTGGTTAGATGATAAACATATATTATTTAAAATTGACGTAAAAAGTATTATAGATCACAATAATTCATAATTTTTAAAAAATTAAAGTACATATAAAAAAATCACTTAACTCCAAAATCTATCAATGTCACATAACTTTGGACATGAAAAGTAACATATATTATTTGAAAATTACGTTAAAAAGGTATTATAAATTACAATAATTAATAATTTAATATATTTAAAAGACAAAAAAAGTTAATTTTTGAAATCCTATATATGCCACATAAATTAAAACAAAGAGAATAATATATACTATGTATTATTTTTAAATTATATAAAAAAAAGTACTATAAATTACAATAATTAACAAACTTAAAATAGGCCTTAAAATCATATAATTATTTTGATAAATTCTCAAGTTTCATGATATCAGTGGGGAATGGGATACAGGTCATGGTCGACATGTCTGTCTGACAACCATACATACCGTTTTAATTTATTTATTTTTTACTTTTTTATATATTTAAAAATTGTGTAATAAATGCTATAAATCATGATAATTGATAACTTCAAATATTTTTTAAAAAGGTAATATGTATTATTTAATTTGGAAATTTCATAAAAAATCTTGTAAGTTTTAATAATTAACAATATTTGATTGATTCTTAAAATTATATATGTGCTACATATATTAGGACAAGAGAAGTAACATATATTATTTATAGATTACGTAAAAAGTATTATAAATTATAATCATTAACAGCTTTAAATATTTACAAATCATATTAAATTTAATTGACTCTCTAAATTCTATCATGAGATAAGAAAATAACAACTTGTGTCTAGTATTAGATATAGACTTCGTATCAGTACCAATCCAATTCATGTTATTCTTTTCTCAATGTATATAACGTAGATAAAATTTGGAGAGTCATTCAATTTTTTATATATATTTAAAAAATATTTTAAGTTGTTAATTATTGCTGTAATTTATAATATCTTTTAAATATAATTTTCAAATAACCCGTAGCATAGATAAAAATTTTAAAGTCAACAATATGTTTTATATGCCTTTCAAATATTTCAAAGTGTTAAATTACAATTTGTAATACTTTTACGTTAATATTAAATGATCTCATTATTCACTTTTACTTGTCACTACTTATTCTTAAAATAGATTTTCATTTTTATTTGTCAACTTGAATATATCAAGAAAATATAACTATTTTATTTTAGGTTTTGCCTTCAGCGTTAAATACTTATTCTCCAAATCTTTTTTTAAGATCTAATACTAAACATAATTTAATAGAGATAATTTAATAAAATACCTATATCGATAATTGTTAGGTGTGTCAAGTCAAATAATGACAAATAAAAATGAATGGAGAAAGTAATATATATTATTTCTTCTGTCCAATTTATGTGTTGCCAAAAATTTCGAAAGTCAATTAAATTTTTATCTATTTTAAATTTTAAATGATCATAATTTATAATATTTTATATATTCGATATTTTAAAATAAAATTTTAAATATTCGATCAAAAACCAAAACTTTCTTGAAGTGATTTTTGTCCTATTCTTCCACTTTAAACACGTGTTACCCATTTGTCAATATGTACGCAAACATAGTGGTCAAACATAAGTCAATAGACCGACTCATAAAAAAACTCTTCGAAAGCATAAATTATGGGGAAAGAGCATAATACATTAAAAATTATTTAAAGTTAATTTTAATCGATAAGTGAACACTTAAATTTAACTTTCAAAATGTATATAAATATTTTACGTAGCTATTGAACACTCTAACTCGTATTTATTAGAAGTGTGTAAAAATCAAATAATTTTTTTTTATTGATTTATTATTATTGGGTTAACATGTTCTTTATGGTTTAATAAAAAAAAGTTATTGGGTTATTGATTTGATTTTGATTTTTTAATTTTGGATTATTGGTAAATCTATAACCCATTTATATTATAATAATTTATTATTTATGTCTACATAAATATTTAATATTAATAAATATTGTCCTAGTTTTTTATTTGTGTTGCACTTGTAAAGTTCTTTTCATGTTAGTTACTATTATTCATATTTTATGATCATTATGTAAAGTTATATTATTGTCCTATCCAGTGACGGACCTAGGATTTTCATGAAGTGGGTTCAAGATATAAAAATATACCTAATATTATTTGTAATTTTTATGAGGCTAACAACATACATATCTGACTATTCTAAACAATGTTAATACATTTGAAAAAAAATTACATTGACTTATGAATGAGACGGTAAATAACAAGATGAACGAAAAACTAGGCTTCAATATAAACTAAGAAAATAAAAGAATATTATGAATGATTTCTCTTCATTCAACATTTAACAAATAAAAACAAAATATTAAACAAAATAATTATAACCTTAATTTCAGAATCAAATATATAGAAATATACATAATATTATTTGTAATGTTTTGTTGATTTTAGAATGACAAGAGATTTTTTAGTTGAAGAAATAAAAAATAACCACAATAATCATATATGTATATATAAAGACTAGAATCAAGAGCGAAAAACATTCAACAAAGAAGAAGACAAAAGGGTTTTTAGAATTGAGAATAATAGGGATTAGTGCCTTTTTAGTTGAGTTTTTTTTTTAAAAATAAATTAAAAACAAAAAGGACAAAAGTTGTTGACTATTGAACTTTTAATTGTAAAAGTAAAAAGTTGTTCTACTTTTTATAGTTTCTTAGTAACTAAAAGGACAAAAATTACACCTACATAGAGGACAAAACTATGTGGGAACGTTTTATATATCAAAAAAACGAATTAAAACTAATATGTGGCAATGAGGATTCGATCCCGGGTTGGCTGGGAAAATTGAACCCCCTAAACCACTCTGCTAAGCTTCAGACTTGTGTTAGTGGGTTCAAAATTTAAAATATACATATAAAATTTTAAAAACTGATTAAATATACATATATATGTACAGTGTTATTTTCCAACGAAGTGGGTTCATATGAACCCACTTGAACCACTGTAGGTCCGCCCCTGGTCCTATCGCTGTAAATTATTTGAGAAGTCATATATTTGTTTTATAAGAATTTTCTTATTGGTTAAATCGAAAATTGAACCTTTTAACGATCAATAATCGTAAACAAAAAATCAATATAAAACATCTTATTGATTTGACTATTAATTTAACGTATTTAAAAATAAAAAACCAATAAACCAAATTAACAATATAAAAATTAAACCAAACCTACCAATACAAACCCCCTAATAATGTTCACTATATTTCGTAAACACTCAATGTTAATATAATACATAAATTTTTAAAAATCTAGATAATCATCTTGTGGGAGATAAAGAAGCTTTTCACACAAATCGTAATCCAAATTTAATAAGAGGATAATGAACTCCTTAAAAATACTAACATTTATGAATGACAACATAGGACATGTGGGAGATAAAGAAGCTTTTCACACAAATCGTAGTCCAAATTTAATAGGAGGATAATGAACTCCTTAAAAATACTTACTAACATTTATGAATGACAACATAGGACATGCCAAATGACATTTTTGTACTTATCTCCAATAACGTTTCTAAGTGAGGATAATGAACTCCTTTAAAATTAGTATTTTACGTTTAAACGGTACATAAAAAATTGGAGTTTAAGAATTAAATGGAATAAGATTAAGATGAAGTATCAAAATGAAAAATGAGGACAACTTTAACAGACTATGTATGTGTTTGATCTTTTTCTACTGAATCCTTTGTCTATTAATTTATTACGGACATAATATGTTAAATTTTTTTACAAAGGTTGTTGTGCTATCCATCTTTTAAACATATGAAAGCTCTCTTCACGCTTGTACGCTGGAGCTGTGTGCCCTCCTCCCTAATTGGAAAATAAATAAATAGAACAAAACATTTGAGAAATAACTATAGAGTTTGAGAATAAAGATAATTATATATATAAAAAATGAATTGAACAAAATTCTTACCTTTATTGTTGCGTATGTCATATAATTCGAGTAAGACTTTGTGTAACTATAAATCAAATATATAAAATTTAGAATTTCATGACAATCGTATTCGTATTGTCTTGTCTAATTTAAAACTAAAACTTGAAGAGCCATACCCTCCAACTTGTCCATCAACCATCCATGGACGCCACTCATCAATAATTGAATAATTTAGATACTTTATCCATGCTTGTGTCGATTGGAAAGGAACAATCATGTCATGATCGCCGCTGG